CATGTGAAGAAACCAGGAATGAATGAAGAAGGCAGGGAGTTCACTAGCAAGCAGTTGAGTACATATAGCAAACCCTAAATTGGGTTGTACTCACTATTGAGTACCCCACTGCAGGCTAGACAAACATAACATTTTGACAAGAGAGAGAGAGAGAGAGAGAGAGAGAGAGAGAGAGAGAGAGAGAGAGAGAGAGAGAGAGAATGAGAGAATGAGAGGAAGAGAGAGAGTGAAAGAGAGGGAGCGAGAGAGAGAGGGGGAGAGAGAGAGAGAGAGAGAGAGAGAGAGAGAGAGAGAGAGAGAGAGAGAGAGAGGGTGAGGGAGTGAGGCCTCACGGACGAGGAGGCTCGTGATTAAAAAAAAAAAAAAAAAAAAAACCAGAACCCCATCCCGGCCAAGAGGCCCGCCTAAGGATGCGCGGCAGCCCGTAGGGGATCGTTAAAAAAAAAAAAAAAAAACAAAAAAAACAAAACAAGGATACAAGGAAGGTTGAGCAATACCTTATTCATAAGCCCACGGGTCGTCCCCATGACCAAAAGGCTAATCACCTAATACATCCTACCCCGGCTGCCCCCAACGTGCAGTGGCAGACGACAAGTGGCAAGATGCGGAGTGGGACCCATACGAGAACGCGGTCACGGACGGCATGGTGAAGGTCATGCGCAACCGATTGCGGAACCAACTCCACTGGTGGATATCGTGGTGCGACAGCAGTTTCATCATCTCAATCATTGCCAGGGGTTATTGGCTGCCTTGGAAGAACACCGAACCGCCACCCTTTGAAACCGCAAACCACGCAGGTGTCCACGCACACACGACGTTCACTCGTGAGGCCATGAAGGTGCGGCAATGAAGGTCTCCTCGCGGACCGCGCTCTCGTGCATAAGTCCACTCAACGTGGTGGAACAACGCGACAAATGCCGCCTCATCCTCGACCTACGCAAGGTCAATCAACAACTTCAAGTTCCCAAATTCAAATACGAAGGTTTAAATCGGGTCTCAGAGATCATTAGACGCAATGACTGGCTGTTCACCATCGACCTCAAATCGGGTTACCACCACGTCGAGATGCACCCCTAATGCTGGAAGTTCCTAGGCTTCCATTTTGAAGGCGAGTTCTACTGCTTTCGAGCTCTGCCGTTCGGATTGGCAACAGCACCTTTCGTCTTCACCCAGTTGATCAAGCAACTGGCCAAACGTTGGCGTGCACGTGGCGTGCGTGTAGTATTATATGTCGACGACATGCTATTCCTCTGCGACTCCGCAGAGCAAGCGCGCAAGACATGCGCAGAGGTTCTACACGATCTGGGGATGGCAGGTTTTGTGATCAACGAGAAGAAATCGTGCTTCCAGCCGGCCCATCAAACACGATTTTTGGGGATGGAGCTTAACACGAAGTGCGGCACGTTCAGCATCGGGTCCGAACGGCGGGCACAGTTCCTAGAAACGCTCAACACGCTTATATGCAAAGGGCAACGCGACCAACAAGTCCCAATTCGGCAAGTCGCTAGTATCACCGGAATGTTGAGCTCCTTGTCCCTAGCATTAGGCACGACGGCACGCGCCTTCAGCCACGAGCTGCTACATTTGATCGAGGCAGCGGCGTCTTGGCACTCAAGGATCTGGCTGCCACGGGCCGCCATCGAGGAGCTCATTTTTTGGCAACTGCACTTTGACCAATTTAACGGTGCCCCGTTTCATCTAAGCCATTAATTTGATGCGGTGATCCACGTCGACGCGAGCGCTCACAGCTGGGGCGCCATCCTCACAAAGTTTGCCAACGCTTCGTACAAGGCAAGCACCAGTATGCCAAGTGAGCTCCTCCCAACCTCAAGCACTCAAAGGGAACTCGAGGGAGTCCTATGGGCGCTGCAGACATTTGCGCCCCACATCACCAATGGCCATGTCTTGGTCCGCGTGGACAACCAAGGAGTCATGTTCATCTTGCGCAAAGGGGGGTCCAGCCAACCACGGCTGACACTGACATGTCAAGCGGTCATACAGTTCTGCCTCAAGAACCACACACGTCTGGCGATCGAATGGATCCCAAGGGAGCTAAATGCCCACGCGGACGAATTGTCCAAAATACAGGACCATGACGACTACTCTCTGCAAACGCCATGGTTTCTCCTGCTGGAGCGTCGATGGGGTCCCCATACGATCGACCTTTTTGCGAACGCCAGCAACAAGAAGCTGCAACGATTTTGCTCCAAAATACCACACCCAAGCGCTACCGCAATCGACGCGTTCTCGATCTCATGGACAGGCGAGCACTGCTTCACATTTCCGCCCCCCGGCTTGATCCCGGCCACGCTTTCTCACGCCAGGCGCACACAAGCTGAGTTGACACTTGTTGTCCCTGAGTGGCCGGGAGCAGCATGGTGGCCGCTGCTACAACCCTCCCCACAAACATGGGCCCTAGAAGTGATCGCATGCTTGCGTCTCGCTCAAGGAAGCCAGTGCCTTCGACCTGGCTCGCACGCAACGGCATTCTCCGGACTCGACCTGTCACATAGCCCAATCATTGCCTTGCGTGTAAAATACAACATGTAACTGATATTCGAATGTTAACTCTTTCAGGATTGCTGACCAAGCTTCAAAAGCAACTGTTACGAGTTATCACGCATGTTCGCGCGCCGTCCACAATCGAGACATACCAGCCATACTGGCTCAAGTTTTGCAACTTTTGCACTCAAGTCAAGTCGGTATTTCTGCCAGCAACGGACCTCACGCTGGCACTCTACCTAGTCCACGCGTTGAACAACAAGGCCACCATATCAGCGATCAGCCTCACATGCTCCGCCGTGGCCTTCGCACATCGGATGACCGGAGAGGCATCTCCAACGAACGGCCCGTTCACGCTGCAAGTACGAGAGTTTGCTAAGCGACATGGCCCCCGCCCGACAAGGACCAAGGAACCCGTGTCACTCCATCAGGTGCACAACATGGCACGACCCTTCCTGGAGTCAACAGTGCCGGCGGAATATCAGAAAGGCTTGATACCTCTCTTGATGTTCGCAGCATTCCTGCGCTACTCCGATTTGATATCCCTCCAGTGGAACGACATCCAGTTCGAAGGGGCGGCAATGTGGCTCCTAATCCCGTACTCCAAGACGGACCAGGAAGGCAAGGGCACGTGGATCCCGGTCGCGGCGACGGCAGGGCCTTACTGCGCAGTGAGATGTACACGGGAGTTCATTCGCATCGCAGGCCTCGCGAATACGCCACACGGGCCACTGATCCGGGTGTTCAACAAAGGGACACAAGCCTCACCGCATGACAAATCGCCTTCGTATACAACCATCCGGAGCTGGTGCCTCGAGGCTTGCAAGAAGGCAGGGCTGGACGCCACGCACATCGGAACACACTCCTTCCGCAAGGGCGCAGCAACAGCAGTAGCTGCCTTAGGCATCCCCGACCGGCTCTTCAAACGAATGGGTCGATGGCGAAGCGACGGCGCGAAGGACCTCTACGTCATCATCGCCCAAGACCAACTCATCGACCTCTCCACCCAGCTGCAGGACACCTCCACCGCCCCATCGCCTGTTAGCCACCAGCAGTCATTGGAGAGGCACCGCCGACCCATAATACACTTGCCCCAGAAGACCCATTTGGAATGAAGCATGCTGCCTTTGCAAGATGGACTAAGCAAAGCTTTCACAATATTATATTTTTTAAAAGTGTAACACTTTTTCAAATTTCGTATTGTGAAAGCGAGGACGTGGCCAACGCAGCAAAGGTAGCAGCTCGACGCTACTCACCCCTCTTTTGCCTACAAAAGAGGAACGTGATTTCAGTAGCTCCACCTACGTTCTTCATTTCCAATTTCTAGTTTTACTTTCCCACCATCCACCCTATTGTGTATCATTGATGGACGAGAACGTTGTAACTTCCCATTTGGAATGAAGCACGCTGCCCCATTTGGAATGAAGCACGCTGCTTTTGCAAGATGGACTAAGCAAAGCTTTCACAATCTTATGAAAGTTACGTGCACTGGTACCGTACAACTATGTTAAAGCAAGTGGATACATTGATGTGTAGGTTCAAGTGGGCCTACGATTATAGAGGCAGCTTGTATTGCGCCAGCTGTACAGACCCGTTGGGCCAGCACATCTGTCCAATCACACTCCTCTGAAAGTGAACAACTTTTTCTGAAGCCGACGCGGAATCTCAACCGTTCGTTACGAGAAAAACTCTGCCCAGTTCAGCTCGGCAATATTCAGGGAATTCTGACTACCCATTTTCGTACAATTCCAGAGCCACGGTTAGGTTTGGTGAGCTGCGGTCAGTAGCGGTGAGAAACCTAGACTGCTGGTTTAACGTATAAAGAACGCTCTAAACCGTACTGGGCGATCAGCAAGTAGTAGATGTCGCAGAACAATTTCAATTGCGCGAAACCGTAGCTAACCGACTATTAGCTCAAAGGTCATCCATGCTTGCTCGAGAAGCACGAGGAATCACAGTGGTTGATCTTGTTGCTGCTTTACATGTGCATACGATACTAGCACGTAATATGGACAATCTAGAAGAACCGGGACGAAACCTGTCGAGTCGCATTAGGTTGAAGGTAGCTCATCTCACCTAACGCCAACGATTACGGAGTTCTTGCTGCTTTTTTTACCATAAGCGCTGGTTCGTTCGATTAATAGTATTTCACCATTGGTGCGGATAGTTACCTGCTTACCCTGCTTGTAACTTGTACGAGGTGCACTGCGAAATCTTGGAAATTCGGAACGGAGGTTGATTGGCGTAAACCATACATGTATAAGTTTGCTGAAACAGCTGATTGGCCAGCCTGTCGAAACAGCTGATTGGACAGCCTGCTGAAACAGCTGATTCGCCAGCCTGCTGAAACAGCTAATTGGCATGAGACATGATGTCTGACTGACCAACCCTCTCAGCCGACGCATATCCAGCTACTTCCTCCTGCCAACTCTCAACGTCGTGGCCGCTGATTGGCCAGTTTCCACGCGGCAGCTCCTAGTTGGCCGGTCGTTCCACCAATGGATGCGAGTCACTTAAAATGGCTACAGGGCATGGCACTGGTGGTGGCCGTGGCTTTAATCTGGATATCCGCGAGCTACATAGTGCAGGTAAGACAGAGAAGTGAGCTTATAGTGCGAATAGATCATAGAATAGAGAGCCTCTGGACGGGATTGCATTTTACGAAATGTAAGTGCACACACTTACATCAGACTTATTTCTAATAAATGTACGGTTCTTCTCTTCTTCTTCTCCTTCTCCTTCTTCCTTCTGTCCCGTTACTTCCTTTCCAGGCTGTGGTGGAAGATGGCCTGGCGCCCTTTATACTCACATACATCTGCAACTCGTTATTAGAGTCGACTCAAAATCGACCCTGCTGTACTTTTCTCCCGTGTGTCCCGTTACTTCCTTTCCAGGCTGTGGTGGAAGATGGCCTGGCGCCCTTTATACTCACATACATCTGCAACTCGTTATTCGTGCTCTACATCCCCGTTGTAGAGCTCTGGTGGTACCTCTTCGGAAAGGACGAGCCTGGAAGTGGTTCGTCCAAAAGCAAAACGGGCAGCAGAAAGGGCGATCCAGAAGGCCGTTTTGGCGGGAAAAGCAGTAGCAAGAACAATGAGGGTGGTGGTAACTTTGTAACTGGTAACAGTACGAGGAAGAAGAAGAAGAAAAGGGAGGACGGGGTGGGAGATGAGGAAGAAAGAGGGTTGTTGGTCGAAGGGGAGAAGGCGAGGGGATCTGGGGATACTGAAGAGGAGGGGAACGTTGGGGGGGTGATGGGGGAAGAAAGGAGAGGGGAGAAGGGAAAAGGCGCTCAGGGAGGGATGCTGGGGGTAGTGCACGGGCGAGTAGAGGGGGGTGGGTTGGAGGAGCAGAGCGAGGAGGGTGAGAAGGGGAAGCATGGGGAGCAGAGGGAGCAGGGGGAGCAGGGGGAGCAGGAGAAACAGGAGAAGGAGGCGCGGGGGGAGCGGGAGGAGCAGGGGCAGCAGGGGCAGGGGGGGCAGCAGGGAGCGCAGGGACAAGGGGAATTAGTGGAGGCAGTCGAATGGCGAGGTAGAGAAACACGGGAGGCAGCAGCGGAGCTGATTATAGAGGGGATAGAGCCAGGGCAAGGGGGGTTAGAGGCAGCACAAGAGGTGAAGGGCTTAGGGGAGATGGGAGAAGGAGTGGAGAGAAGAGGGGTTTACCAGGAACGGCCGAGTACTGCTGAGCTTCTAGGGCATATAGAAGTGGATGATTTGACTCAGGGTGTGACTATAAAGGGGGAAGGAAGTCAAGTAGAAGGGATTTTGCTGCACAGTGGTATTCCAGCTCATGCTGACGTGGACAGGAGGGCTCATGAGCTGGCAACCAGTCTCTCGCTTCACACTGCACTTACTCAATCCGCCAGCAAGGAGTCTGTCCAATCCAATTCGTCCACGTCAGCAGAAATTCTCGCCTCCCCCTCCTTCCGCCACTGGGGTCACCGATCCTTCGATGCAGGCTCGTTCAGGCTCTGGCTCGGCAGCCCAGGCTCGGGTCCGAGTCTCACACCAAGCCCTTCCGAGCGTAGAACTTCCGAGCCTAAGCAAGGACGGGAAAAAGACGTGCAGAATCAGCACCAGCGGCAGCAGCAGCAACAACAGGAGCATTCAGGATTGAGCTTGGGAAAAGCAGCAGCGTCACCTGTCCCAGCAGCAGCAGCGGAGGAGGCAAGGTGGACGAGGGCACGAGTGGCGGGAGTGAGTCTGGCCATCTGCCCCGTGTGGTTCCTCGCCCAGTTCACCTTCAACCTCTCACTGGCTTACACCAGCGTCACGGTGAGTCGCCTGGGGCTCTTACAGGGCGTCTTTTCCCCTCTCTCTGTCTCCTGGGGCGACTTCTCCTTTCTTGAGTCGGCAGTAAAGTCACCTCGTGTGGTTCCTCGCCCAGTTCACCTTCAACCTCTCGCTGGCTTACACCAGTGTCACGGTGAGTGTGTCACGGTGAGTGTGTCACGGTGAGTCGAATCATTCAGACCGTCTTCTCCCCCTGTCTTGAGTCCCATGGGGTATCTTCACTTCCCCCCTCTTGCTGAGACGTCTTTTGAGGCGCCTCAAAGTGAGTCCCATGGGGTATCTTCACTTCCCCCCTCTTGCTGAGACGTCTTTTGAGGCGCCTCAAAGTGAGTCCCATGGGGTATCTTCACTTCCCCCCTCTTGCTGAGACGTCTTTTGAGGCGCCTCAGAAGTGAGTCCCATGGGGTATCTTCACTTCCCCCCTCTTGCTGAGACGTCTTTTGAGGCGCCTCAAAAGTGAGTCCCATGGGGTATCTTCACTTCCCCCCTCTTGCTGAGACGTCTTTTGAGGCGCCTCAAAGTGAGTCCCATGGGGTATCTTCACTTCCCCCCTCTTGCTGAGACGTCTTTTGAGGCGCCTCAGAAGTGAGTCCCATGGGGTATCTTCACTTCCCCCCTCTTGCTGAGACGTCTTTTGAGGCGCCTCAAAAGTGAGTCCCATGGGGTATCTTCACTTCCCCCCTCTTGCTGAGACGTCTTTTGAGGCGCCTCAAAATTGAGTCCTCCCATGGGGTATCTTCACTTCCCCCCTCTTGCGGAGTCCCACCATCTGCCCAATGTTGTTCCTCCCTTGCCCAGATCACCTTCAATTGCTCACACCAGTGTCACTGCGAGTCCACTTGTATGCGTCGTCTTATCCCCAACTCCACTCTGCCATCTCTGTCAGTCCACTTGTATGCGGCGTCTTATCCCCAACTCCACTCTGGCATCTCTGTCAGTCCACTTGTATGCGGCGTCTTATCCCCAACTCCACTCTGGCATCTCTGTCAGTCCACTTGTATGCGGCGTCTTATCCCCAACTCCACTCTGGCAACTCTGTCAGTCCACTTGTATGCGGCGTCTTATCCCCAGCTCCACTCTGCCATCTCTGTCAGTCCACTTGTATGCGACGTCTTATGAGGCGCCTCAAAAACAACCTCTCGCTGGCCTACACCAGTGTCACTGGGAGTCCACTTGCATGCGACGTCTTATCCCCAATTATGCTCTAGCATCTCTGGAATTCTCCTCCCAACCAATCGCTGACTTCCCACTTCAAACCCCCACCCCCCTCTCCGCACCCCCCTTCTCCATCAGTCCAACACCATTCTCAGCTACACGTCAAGCCTCTTCACCTTTGCTCTCTCCGTCCCTCCTTCACGAGCGCTTCTTTCTCCTCTCAGCTGTATCCTTCCCTCCTTTCCCCTCCCCTCCCCTCCTCCCCGCTCCCTCCACCCCCACTCCCCTCTCTCTCCCCCGCTTCCCCTCCAGTCCAACACCATTCTCAGCTGCACGTCAAGCCTCTTCACCTTTGCCCTCTCCGTCCCTCCTGCACGAGCGCTTCTGCCTGCGCAAGCTGCTCTCCGTGCTGCTCTGTGTGGCTCTCTGCTGTGCTTCTCGGTTCTGCTCGGTTCTGCTTTCTGTTCCCGACTCCCCACACCCACTTCTGCCTCTCCTCCCCGCTCCCTCCCCTCCTTGTGAGAATTGAACCGATGAGTTGATTAGGAGTGATGAGGGCTTACATAGTTGGAGCTAAGGAAAGGGGGGTGGTTGGTACCTAGCCAACATTATTGGCCCCCACCAATAAGTTGGGTTGGAGAATTATTGGGGGGTCCCAATAATGTTGGTCAAAGTGGGCCAACATTATTGGGGGGGGCAATAATCCTCCAACCCAACCTTGGGGTCCAATAATTGAGCCAAGGTTGGGTTCCAACCCCCACCTAGGGTTAACCCTAGTTGTGCACCCAAACATTGTTTGGGTGCCTATCTCTATCCTAGGGTTTATAGGATCAATGCAGGATACAGAAGAGTAGTATAATATAACACTCCTCCCCTCCTCCCCTCTCCACCCCCCCCCCCTTTCCCCCCACCCCCTTCCCCGCCACCAGTCCAACACCATTCTCAGCAGCACGTCAAGCCTCTTCACCTTTGCTCTCTCCGTCCCTCCTTCACGAGCGCTTCTGCCTGCGCAAGCTGCTCTCCGTGCTGCTCTGTGTGGCTTTCTGTTGTGCTGCTTGGTGCTGCACTCGGTTCCACACTTATGTCTCTCCTCTGGATCGCTGTATCCTTCCCTCCTTTCCCCTCCCCTCCTCCCCGCTCCGTCCTCCCCCACTCCCCTCTCCCCCCCTCCTTCAGTCCAACACCATTCTCAGCTGCACGTCAAGCCTCTTCACCTTTGCTCTCTCCGTCTACCTCCTTCACGAGCGCTTCTGCCTGCGCAAACTGCTCTCCGTGCTGCTCTGTGTGTCCGGCACCGTTGTTGTCGCCCTGGCAGACCAAGCCCAGGCCAGCAACACTCTAAACGCCGCACTTAGCAACCTAAGCGCCAGCGGCGGTTTTAACAACAGCAATTTCAACAGCAGCGACAGCAGCAGTAGCAGTGGCGCAGGGCTAAGTGGCAGTGGGAATAGCACAGGTTTTGGCGCCGGTGGTGGCGGTGGTGGGAATGCGTTTGATGCTGCTGCGGTGGCAGAGGCGAGTGCAGCAGTTGCGAGTAACGCAAGGGAGAGTCTGTTTGGCGATGTGCTGGTTCTCATGTCAGCTGGTTTCTACGCTCTCTATACCACCATGCTTCGGTCTTTCACCCCTGCTGAAGGCGGGTTTGAGGAGATGGGCGAGGAGGAGGGGATGGAGGGAGGGGAGAAGGAGGGAGTGAGAAGGGGAGGGAGCGGAGAGGAGGAGCGAGGGGAGGAGGGACGCGTGGAATCGGGAGGCAGGGGATTTGATGTGGCTGAATCAGGGAGCGGGAAAGCAGAGGTGGAACAGGAGGAAAAGGCGGGAGAGGAAAGGGAAATAGAAGAGCACAAGGAGGAGAAAGGGGAGGGGGAGAAGGTGGGGAAAGGGGAGGAGGAAGGAGACGAGCAAAAGGATGGGGAGGGGAAGGGCGTAAAGAAGAGGAGGGATGCAGAAGAGGAAGGAGGAGAGGAGGAGGAAGAGGAGGAGGAGGAGGAAGAGGAGGAGGAGGAGGTACCATTCAGCACAGCGCTCATGTTTGGGTATCTGGGTCTCTTCAACCTCTTCCTGCTGGCGCCTGTGGGGCTGCTGGTGCAGTGGGTGCGAGGGGAGTGGTTTGCCTGGCCCGACGCCTCCCAGTGGACGCTGGTCATTGCCAAAGGTACGCCTCCCTACCCTGCCACTGGAGTGGTGTGATCTCACCAAGGTGCCTTGACTGCGCACCTGAGAGAGGGTGCGAGGGGAGTGGTTTGCCTGGCCCGACTCTTCCCAGTGGGCTCTAGTCATTGCCAAAGGTACGCCTCTCCCTATCCTACCAGCAGAAGCAAGGGTGAGTCTCTGGGCCTCTTCAACCTCTTCTTTTTGGCGCCTGTGGGGCTGCTGGTGCAGTGGGTGCGAGGGGAGTGGTTTGCCTGGCCCGACGCCTCCCAGTGGGCTCTAGTCATTGCCAAAGGTACGCATTCCTACCCTTCCCTTAGAGGTACGTTTTAAGGGCGTATCCCCGGTTCCGTTCACTTGCACTGTTCCGGGCATGCGTGAATTGCGGATGCCCCAAACAACATAGAACACCACTTTGGGTTCTCGGCACTCATGCGACCTCCAAATTGGCGCGAGGCTTTTTCGCGCCAAAATTACGCCCCAAACAACAGTCGCATCCAATGGAGGGATGCCAGAACAGTTCGAAAGATCATTTGCTACACCCACGCAAAACCATGCGACACCCATCTAAAAACAAAACCGTAAAAAATGTCGGCATGAATCCCCAAATGTTGGGAGCAAGACGCGGGAAATTCAAGACACATTCGGGGGTCACTGGGATCAATTTGCCGAGTGGTTGGGTGCAGAGGTATATAAAACGGTACATTGCAAAATAGCATGACTCGACTGACGACGGCCAAAAAGATGGCAGTCTGACGTGAATCGTGCAACCAGGTGATTGGTTGGGGGAGGGTCGTGCACGTCAGTCGCCCAACACCTGCACATTGACCCAAAGCTGGGGCCGCGCACGGCTCGGCAGCCCACTTCGGGTCATGCGCATTTTACGCATGACCCAAACAGTTGAATGAACAGTGCAAGTGAACGGAACCAGGGATACGCCCTAAGGTGGGCTGGGGGTTTCTTCAACCCAACCTCTTCCTCCTCGCACCCGTGCGGCTGTTAGTGCAGTGGGTGCGAGGGGAGTGGTTCGCATAGCCTGAAGCATCCCAGTAGGGGCTTGTCATTGCAGAAGGTACGCCTGCCTACTCTACCAGCTAAGGCACAGGTGTGTTGGTAGAGAGGCACAGGTGTGCTGGGGGGGGGTTCAGGTCTTGATTCCTTGCCCCTTGTGTTCCCCTCCCCATGTTCAACTTCCCCCATCTCCTTCGCTCTACCCCAGGTCTGCTAGACAATGTATTGAGTGACTATCCCTATCGCCCCCTCATGTTCCCCTCTCCATTGTCCGCTCACCGATCTCCCACTCTCCTCTACCCCAGGTCTGCTTGACAACATATAGAGTGACTATCTGTGGGCTCGGGCGGTCCTGCTCACCACCCCCACCGCCGCTACAGCCGGGCTGCATATTCAAATTCCCATCGCCCTCCCCACCACCCCACCCACTCGTGTCCCCCTCCCCGTGTTCCCCTTCAGGTCTCTCAGACAACGTCCTAAGAGATTATCTCTGGGCTAGAGCTGTCCTCCTCACCACCCCCACCGCCGCTACAGCCGGGCTGCAGATCCAGATCCCCATCGCCCCCTCATGTTCCCCTCCCCATGTTCCCCTTCAGGCCTGCTAGACAACGTTCTGAGTGACTACCTGTGGGCTCGGGCCGTCCTGCTCACCACCCCCACCGCCGCTACAGCCGGGCTGCAGATCCAGATCCCCATCGCGCTCACTGTAGACAGCTGGAAGGCCAACAGCCTGCCAGACACTGTTCACATGGTCGGGGCGGCGTTGGTTGTCCTGGGGTTCCTGGGGATTAATTCGTTCGTGACGTTTGATTGGCTGGGGGATGTGGGTGCGGCTGAGAGGTGGCTTTTGGACCGGTGTAAAGCGGTGGGGGTGGTTGTTAGGGGGTTGGTGGCGGCAGTGGGTGAAATTCTACAAGGGATGGTTCATAGGGTGGTTGGGAGGCGGAGGGGTGGGGAATTGGAGGGGCTTTTAGAGAGTGAGGATGGGGGGGCAGCTAGAGCAGAATCAACTCTGGTAGGAAATCAAGTGGTACTTGCAAAAGCTTCGGATATTGTAGGGGTGAAAGTACCGGTGTAGTCGATTGTTGCGGCACGCTTGCTGCTGTGCTTCACTTGAGATTATTTCTCACACCAACCAACAGGGCCTAAACCATTATGGAGAGGTGCAGAACGCAAAAATAGGAGCTAGATGTCAGTCAAAGCATCAAATTATGATATGAAGCCCAATCCAGTCCAGTGCTATTTACAACAACACGTGGTTCTACTGCAATTATGATACAGCGTCAGATTTCCCAAATTCCTAGTCAGTTAACCATCCCCAGAGCATGATGAATCATTGAAAAAAAACACAGCACACCGCATTGCACCGATATAACAGCGCATCACACCATACTGCACCACATCACACCATACTGCGCCACATCACACCGCACCACACCACTCCCCACCGTGCCACGCCACATCTTGTCGCATCTCGTCACGTCAGGAGGATCGAGATACAGAGGTCGAAGGGAAAACGGGGCGAGCGGAAGGGGCAACAGGAGAGGAGGCTGAGGGAGGGAGGGTAGGTGTGGTGAGCAGAAGAGGCAGCTGCATCAGTCTCCTCTAATACCCATATGCATGACCTCCCCCTCTTGGCCCCTCAGAGGGCTGGCGAGCAGAGGAGGAACGGTGAGAGGAGGACGGCAGGGCAAGGCGGGCAGAAGGAGCAGCAGGGGCGGAGGCTGAGGGAGGGAGCGCGTGACGTGCGTGGTGCTGCCAGGTGCTGTCGAAGGTTGCTGCTTCCTCTGCAATGGAGTGCAAAGGGGAGATGAAGAGAAAGTGAGAGAACAAAGTGAGTGTTGAGCGTGGTGCTGCCATGTGCTGTCGAAGGTTGCTGCTTCCTCTGGTGGTGGGGAAAGGAAGAAGAGAGAAAAGAAGCTGTGAAAATCAGGATGGAAGTACTGAGGTGGAACATGGGAAGCTGTGAGGATCGGGTCGGGATGGAAGTGCTGAGGTGGAACATGGGAGGGCAAGGTGCGAGCCGCGCATTGTGCAGAATCCTGAATGGCCATACATACACACGTACCAACACGACCAATACCAACACGACCAATACCAACACGACCAATACCAGCACATGAACGCCCCACCTTGACTTTTGAGTCGACTCAAAAGTCACCTCGACTCAAAAGTCACCTCATGGCCATACATAACACGTACCAACACGACCAATACCAGCACATGAACGCCCCACCCTGTGACATGCTGTGCAGGATTTCGTATGATGTCTTGGGGATAGACTCCCCACCACCACCCACCACCCCCCACCACCTCACCTTGCGACAAGTTGTGCAGAACCTCGTACAACCTCTGCTGACACCTCTCAACACCGCTCATACCTCGCGCACATTTTCACATGCCACCACCAACAACCCCCACCTTGCGACATGTTGTGCAGGATCTCGTACGACTTCTGCTGGAGGAATCATAATCCTATGACAGACATACCCCTCACCACCACCCACCGCCACACACCACCACCCCCCACAACCCACCACCCACCACCCCACCTTGTGACATATTGTGCAGGATCTCGTATGACTTCTGCTGCCCGCCCTCCCTGGTGCAGCTCAGTGTTCGCGCCTGTTGCCATATGGGGGGGGGGAGAGGGGGCGGGAGAGGTGGGGAGTGGTGAGGAGTGGTGAGGAGAGATGCTGCCTGCCCTCCCTGGTGTAGCTCAGTGTGTGCACGCCTGTCGCCATATTAGAAGGGAAGAGGGAAGGAGTGGTGCAGAGTGGGAAGTGGTGAGTGGTCAGTGTGAGGGGTAAGCAGTGGTGGAGGGGGGTTGAGTCACGAGGAGTGGAGAGTGGTGAGAGATGATGAAGAGAGATGCTTCCCGCCCTCCCTGGTGCAGCCCACGGTGCATGCCGGCCCCCACCTGCCAGCCATTCCCCCATGCCATCCCCCCTGCCAGCCCTCCCCTTGCCAGCCATCCCCCTGCCAGCCCTCCCCATGCCCATACCAGCCATCCCCCCTGCCAGTCTTCCCCCGCTACCACCTCCCCCCCTGCTAGCCCCCCACCTGCCAGCCCCCGCCCTGCCAGCACCCCGCCCCCCTGCCAGCCCCCCTCATCTCAACCCCCCCCTCCAACCCCCCCTGCCAACCCCCCCTCCCCCGCCAGCTCACCTTATCGCCCAACCCCCGTGCAACTGTCATGCTCTGGTGTCCCCTCGAGTCCCGCCGCTGGTGCTGTGCCTCCACCACCTGCGGTACAGAGGGGTGAAGAGCGGTGAAAAGGGGCGAGATGAAATGTTGGGGAGGTGAGTGGGCAGTGTGGATGAGGGGCAAGGGGAGTGCAGAAAAGGGGCGAAGAGGGGCGAAGAGGGGCGAAGAGGGGCGAAGAGGGGCGAAGAGGGGCGAAAAGGGGCGACGAGGGACGACGAGGGGCGACGAGGAGCGACGAAGGGCGAAGAGGGGCGAGGATAGGTAGAGAGCATTCGAGTCAGCTCGAAAGTAAATGCGCTCAATAACACTCAGCAATTGTCGTCCCGGTTCCTTCAAGTTACCCGCTAATCCCCGGTTAGAGGCGACTTATACACAGTGAATACCAGGCTCTGTTATAAGCATGAACCCCGCCGACAGCTCTGTTAAAAGAATCACTCACCCCGTTGGCCGCGATTTGGTGGGAGGACGACTCAGAGTAGTACGTCTTCCCGCCTATCCCCGAGTAGGTGACCGTTGAGCTCTGGAAGGAGTAGGACGAGCCGCCCCCTGCCGCGCCCCCAAGCCCCGCCAACGCGCCGCCGAAACCAGCGCCAAATCCGCCGCCTAATCCGCCACCAAATAGGCTGAGAGCGTTGAAAGGAGACGACGATGTGATACGCGTTTCGTGCGTGTGAGTGGGCGCGGCTGTAAAGAGAGGACGAAAGAGAGCGCAAAAGAGTGGGACAAATCGGGGAGGAAAAGACAAACGGAGAAGGGGCGGGGAGGGGAGGACGCAAAAGGAAATGTGAGAAGGACAAAAGCTTCGCTTTGTAGCAGCGAAACGCGATGGAGAATGGAAGGCAGGAGCTTTTGGTTCCGACGTGAAAGAAGGAGTGTTTTGAGACGTCTCAAAATGCCCCAAACGTGAAAGAAGGAGTGTTTTGAGACGTCTCAAAACACTCCTTCTTTCACGCGATGGAGAATGGAAGGCAGGAGCTTTTGGTTCCGACACGCTTCTTATTCGGTGAATAGAAAAGGGCGTGACTGAACGATGGGTTTGCGAAATAATGGAGCAGTTACCACTCGTAACACAGTCAATCCCGTCACAGTGGTAACACCGTAACCAGCGGGTTACCTTGCTGCTGCGAGCTGCGACCCTGCTGCCTCGTAGAACTCCTCTGCTGCTGCTGCTGCTGCTGCTGCTGCTGATAAGCCGAGTTTCTTCCCTGGGAATACTGCTGCTGCCGCTCATACGCTCCGCTCTCCGCGTTTCCCTCCTCTGCTTCCTCATCTTCCTCCTCGCGTTCTCGCCTCCTCTTCCCCTCCTGCTCCTCCTCCTGCTCGTCGTCTGGAAGCTCCACTATAGGCTCTTTCGCAATATAAGCTCGGTTCCTTCGCCCTGGTCGTTCGCCGCCGGTTTCGCGAGAATCGGACGGTTTCGCTCCCCTGCTGCTGGTGCTGTGGTAACCATGCGGTAACCCGGTTTCGTCGTCGTCATGAACTTCTTGAATGGCCGGTGCAGACACATGCTGCTGGTAACGCTGTCGCTGCTGCTGTCGCTGCTGCTGTTGCTGTTGTTGTTGCTGCTGCTGCTGCTGCTGCTGCTGCTGCTGCTGCTGCTGCTGCCGCCGCTGCTGTTGCTGCTGCTGCTGAAGGTGCCTGTTATGATGCTCCTGATGCTGACGCTGATGCTGCACATAAACAAGGAAACCACACGAACGAGAACCGTATAGAAACATGCTTAGATAGTTCTTTTTTAAAGTAGCAAAGGTCTGATGCGTCTCATAGCAATATCCCATCCCTTATCCTCACATGGTCGTCGAATCCGAACGGCGACGCCGACGGAAGCGGCAGCATCGGTGCGTGCGGGAACATCGACCCAAACGCGCCGAATTCCCCGCCGAAAATCCCGCCGGGACCGCGACCGGCTGTCCCGCCTTGACGACCGAACATGGACCCGAAAGGATCCGTGAAAAAGGGGTCTGAGAATACGGGATCGTTGAAAAGGCTTGGACCGAATCCGAAACCCATCCCGGCGAAGGGGTCATAATTAGGGTTCGGAAAGCCGCCTTGACCTACACCTCTATTCATCTTGAAAAACGCTTTCGCACGAGCACCCGCGACACGACGGAAGCCACTCTTACAAACAACGTCCCAGAAACGAGGCGCTCAAGAGTATTTCAACCCACAAGAAGTCTACGCACAGCTCGACAACGTGGCAAGAAACCGAGAACCATGAAAGAGCGAAGCGCATCACATGGTAATTAATCTGTAGCAAGAAATAGTATTTCACGCAAAAGCACAGGATCCGAAAATTCTTGACCCTCCAGAAATGATACCCACCATCAACGTTGCCTTTCCTTTCATGCTCACCCATCCAATCCCAAGGCCAGCCAGGCCTCCCCTCCTCCCTGTTGCCTCATCCGAAGATTGAGATTGCGGTTCGCCAAAAAAAGGGAGTTTTCTGTGGCTGTGGCGAAAGTCGCCACAGGGAAATTGAAGCCTGTGGGGAAATTCTTGATGACCGCGGTCACTGTACTGTACTGTGTTGAACAGAAATTGTATTGTATCTACTTAATGGTACAGTACACCCACATGGCCACATGTACAGAAGCACAGTCTCGAGCTGGGTTTGTTGTGCCACACACGCAATGTGGGGCAGCTCGGGCAGGTTTCAAACCCTCAGTTGTGCTCTAGAAAAATCACGAAACAGAGTTCTTGACGTTCGATCATTGCTGACGTGGAGTCTCCCCACAGTATAAAAAATCCAGCCGTCCCAAATCCGCGGATCATGCAGCATGGTGGTGACGGAATTCAAGTGGTGCTGAGGAGGCCCTGCTGAACGCGTTACACGGTATCCTCGAGATAATGCAGTAAATATTTACACTGATGTAGAGACCAGCAAGATGTATCTGCATTTCCAAATTCACCACAGCCTCCACTGCACCATCCTCCCTCCCTCTATATCCTGCATGGCCATTTTAGCTTGATGTGTGACATTTGTGCGCCATTCGCATTCCTTATTTTTCCTTCCTCTACAAGTCTTTGAGCTTGAGTCGGTGTCCTGCGAACAACCCATCACCCACATTTCCAAAATAAATCGATACTCCTTTACAAGCCTTCTCCCACAGGCCTGACCTGTGGCCCGCAGGCCTTCACATTCCCGTGCCCTCCATCCAAGAACCTACTGTGGGAGAACAGGGGCAAAGCCTTCCCACACTTAACCATTTCGAGTGCGTCGCTTACATCGCAACTCGCATTGCTGCTGATGCTGCTGCCATTGCTCCCATCAGCACACCCAGTCACCAGATCAGCTGCCATTTTGCCAACCAGTGGACCAAATTTAAACCCGTGCCCCGAGAACCCTGCTGCTACCACAATATTCACTCCGCCTGTCTCTCTGAAACTTTCTTCTTCAGACCCATCTCCTCGTGTTCCCTCCCCTAGAACCCCCTCCCTTCCCTCACTGCTAGTCCTGCTTTCTTCTGGTAAAGCGCGCTCTCCTGTGGCCAATGGGATGCGATCAATTATGAAATCTTGGTCCGGAGTCATGGTGTAGAGGCAAGATTCCATCATCACGGGCTCGGTGGTAACCCTACTCCCGAACCTGGCCTGAAGCCACGGCACCAGCACGGTCCGGACCGCATGCGCATCCGGGAGGGAGGGTCGGTTGTCAGGGTCGGGGCAGGGCAGGCCGGAATGGAGGGAGACCTTGATTAGGTCCGGGAACTCCAGGCTCGGAATGCCGTACACGTACGGTTCGTCATAGTTGATAAATAATGGAATGGCTGTGCTGTTACCGTTGCTCCTGCTTCTGCTGCTGCTGCTAATACCATCAGAAGAAGCAGCACCAGTAGCAGCAGTACCATCACCAACAGCATCAGCACTGTCAGTATCAGCAGCAGCAACAGGAGCACAGTCAGCATCTCCCCCTCCCTCCACAGCAACCCGCCAGTAAGCCACGGTGGTTCGCAGGGCCTGCAGAGGAAGCTTCCTCCCTGTTGCCCTCTCTAATAGTTTTCCCGCCCATGCCCCTGCTGCCACTACACAGTCGTTACATGTAACGCTGCCTCTGCTGGTTACCACACAAATCCGTCCTGAATTTTCAACCCCTGTAGCTGCTGCCTCTTTGTCCTGTAGCAGCTCGACGGCAGTAACCGCCGTTTTGTCTCGTAGTGCCGCCCCGTGCTTCACCGCCAGCTGTTGGAACATCGCCACAGCTTTCGTCGCATGCAGCACCCCCGCATCGGGACAAAACACGCCGACCAAATCATCGTCAGAAGAAGAACCTTCAGAAAATTTGAACATTGGGAACCGTTCTCTCAAAGCAGCTCCCTCCAGGAGCTGATGTGGCACGCCGTGGTTGCGACAGCTGGCATGAACGGCTGCCAGGTCAGCATTGCTGCGTGGGCCGAAATCCAAGCCACCGGTGACGGTAAGGGGGGAGTATCCAGCCTCGTTAGAAGCAGACTCCCATAACTTATAAGCAAGCGGCATGAGTGCGGTGTAATGGTCTTCAGGGTAAGTTCTCCTGATGATTCGAGACTCCCCATGCGAAGAGCCTGGAGATAGGAGAAGGAAGGAAGGGCGGATTAGAGTGGGGTGGATGAGACTGGGGTGCATGAGTGCAGTGTAATGGTCTTCAGGGTAAGTTCTCTTAATAATTCGAATTACTGCGATGACTTGACACCGGCAGGGGAGGAGTAGAGGAGGGGAGGAGGAGAGAAGGAGAGGAGGAGAGAAGGAGAGGAGGGGGAACGGACTGCTCGGCGGTGCAGCATTCGCACTGCTCCAGCAGTAGCAGCAGTAGTCTCCTTGTTAAGGGTTCATTCGACAACAGCACAAAATCCTCGTTTATAGTCCACTCGATAACAGCAAGATCTCTCTCTCTCTCCTCCCCCACCTCGTCTATGCAGCAGGTCGAACTGCTCCAGAAGCAGCACTTACCGCCCGCATTTCACGAGCTCGTACGCTGCGCAGATGCCAATAATGCGGTAAGGTACGGTACGGTTCTGTGAGGTGCGGTGCTGAGAGATTGACAGAATTGCTTTCTCCACTCACCTCGGCGGTGCACCAGATCAAACTGCTCCATCAGCAGCACAGCCAGCCTGTGATTAACTATCAAAATCCTCGTTAAAAACGAGCTCGATAAAAGCAGAATGTCTCTTTCTCACCTCGTCGGTGCAGTAAATCGAACTGCTCCAGCAGCAGCACTGTCCGCCCGCGCTTCGCGAGCTCGTACGCCGCGCAGCTGCCCATGATGCCAGCACCCACCACCACCACGTCGTACCGCTCCATTATACCAGATCCACGTGGCTGAACCGCGCAGAAGCGGCGAGACAATGACAATGCGGTAAGGTGCGGTGAGGAGCGGTCCGGAGCGATTGATACCGGTTCCGCAGGATACACTAGCGCAACGGATTCACGCGCAACGCTTCGCACTGACAACGCTAGGGAATGAGAGGAGCAAAACTGACGGATTCTGTCCGCCCAGCTGACTCTGTTTGCGGGCCCCAGAGAAATCTGGACGGACCAAATTAGCTCCGAAGGAATAGCTTCTATGGGTACACCGCATAACTCGTTACTACACGCTCCGCTGATTCAACTTGAAATAATCAGACTCATAATGCTCAGGTGCATCACCTCTCATTGCTTGATAATCACCACATAGAGTCGAACCATATAATTATCAGACCACTATGATGGGGCAAGTTGCAATAATTCGCCTTTCTTTTTAGACGAAACTCCCTTCTTCCACCATTTCCACCTCTGCGCAAATCCCTTAGCCCACACAGCAAGGTGCGCAAGCCAAACCGCTGCTTCCAGTTTCAACAACTGCATCTCCACTTGTGCTATTTGCAGCCTTCTGTGCAAATACGCCTTCCAACGAACTGCCAAAGAGTTTGGAGCCTTGGAAATTAGAGCTTTCTCATCTGCTTCTGCAATTGCCTGTGTGCATTCCCGTGCGGTGATCATGAATGTGTTGACTGGGGTGCCCTGCAGTGATGTATGTAAGCGCGATGGACAGAACAGAACAGCACATAGACAAAGGATTCGGGATGCAACCGAGGAAAGATTTAGGAAATCTTGGACAAAGGATGCAGGGCGAAACACAGGAGAGAGGGGACTCACCGGACAAGACAAACAGATCTGCAATCCAGTTTCAACAATACGGCATATTTTGCAATAAGGAAATGGTGATTACTCACCAGGGCAGTATCCAAGGACCGAAGGCAGTCATTGGTTTTGAGGAGCAGCAGCAGCACACGGGGCAAGCATGACAGTCAAGTGAAGGGAAACACGGTAGTGAGAAATAAAGGAAGATTCTCACCAGGGCAGTATCCAGAGAGCGAAGGCAGTCATTGGTTTTGAGGAGCAGCAGCAGCACACGAGGTAACCGAGCTAGAAGGCGTGTAATGTCATTGAAATATGCGGCTGCTGATTTCTGGAGAAGCAGAGAGGAAGGGAAGGAGGGAGGGAGGAAGGGGCTGAAACAGGGGGACGGCTGTGGTGCGATGAACGTGCTAGAAGGCGTGTGATGTCATTGAAATATGCGGCTGCTGATTTCTGGAGAAGCAGAGAGGAGAGGGAGGGGCAGAGATAGCCGTGGAAAAGGGTGGGTTGGGCGTTATTTGAGTCGACCCACTCCAATGCAGGCAGGCAAGCGTGTGGCCGCAGTGTGAGCGTCGCAGCAAAGAGAGGGAGGAGAGCGTCTCAGCAAAGTTGGCGTACAGGCCTCCCCGGCGCCCAGCAAGGAGAGGGAGGAGAGGGCAGGGGCAGGAAAGGGGGTGTGCAGGTCCTCCCCCGGCCCTTAGCGTAATGTTTTTTGAGAGGACCTGCGTGCGCGGCGCGATGCTGTGCTGCATGGTGCCCTCACCTGCAGGAGCTGCTTCTCTTCCGCTGCGTCTGGGATAAAAAGATGGTCCGAAGAAGCCTCAACGATGTTCTCCCACGATCCGCCCCAACCCCCAGCGGAATGACCATAGAGGACCTGCGTGCACGGCGCGATGCTGTGCTGGATGGTGCCCTCACCTGCAGGGGCTGCATGGTGCCCTCACCTGCAGGGGCTGCATGGTGCCCTCACCTGCAGGGGCTGCATGGTGCCCTCACCTGCAGGGGCTGCATGGTGCCCTCACCTGCAGGGGCTGCATGGTGCCCTCACCTGCAGGTGCTGCTTCTCCTCGAGTCCATGTCCGGAATAAACAGGTGATCCGAAGACTCCTCCACAACGTTCTCCCTCTCTCTACCACTCTTCACCCTCTTTTACCCCTCACCTGCAGGGGCTGCTTCTCCTGGAGTCATTGTCTGGAATGAACAGGTGGTCCGAAGACGCCACAACGATGTTCTCCCTCTCTCTACCACTCTTCACCCCCTTTAACCCCTCACCTGCAGGTGCTGCTTCTCCTCAGCTGTGTCCCGAATAAACAGGTGATCAGAAGACGCCTCAACGATGTTCTCCCACGATCGCAGCGTGAGTGTCGCAGCAAAGATCGCGTACAGGTCCGCCCCGGCCCCCAGCGCAATGCTATACTGCATGAAGCCCTGTGAGCCACTGCCCATCATCAGTAACCTAACCAACCCTACGCCTCCTACCCCCCACCCCTCCCTCACCTGCAGGTGCTTCTTTTCTTCCGCCGTGTCAGGGATAAACAGATGGTCCGACGACGCCTCGACGATGTTCTCCCACGATCGCAGAGTGAGCGTCGCAGCAAAGATGGCGTACAGGTCCGCCCCGGCGCCCAGCGCAATGCTGTACTGCATGATGCCTCTAGCATCTGCCAGAACAAGAGCCTTCCAGAGGTGCGCGTAGTTGAGGCGGAGGGAGTCAGGGAGTTGCCGGTACAGCCCATGATCTAGTAACACCACTTCTGGCTCCACATAGCCTGGAGAGAGTGGGAACGATGCAGAACGGACATACAGCGTAGTTGAGGCGGAGGGAGTCAGGGAGTTGCCGGTACATCCCGTGATCGAGTAACACGATTTCTGGTTCCACGTAGCCTGGAGAGAGGGAACGGAGTGAGAGGAGAGAGGAGAGGTAAGGGAGTGACAAAGAGAGGGAGGAGAGGGTAGCGGCAGCAAGGTTTTTAACACATGTCTCAACCCCGTTCCCAGCGCAATGCTGTACTGCATGTTGCCTCTCGGATTGGCCAGCACAAGGGCCTTCCAGAGGTGTGCGTAGTTGAGGCAGAGGGAGTCGGGAAGCTGGCGGCATAGCCCGTGATCCAGCAGTACCACCTCTGGCTCCACATAGCTTGGCGGGAGTGGGAACGATGCAGTGGGACATATAGCGTGATATAGCGTGATAGAGGCAGAAGGAGTCGGGCAGCTGGCGGCATAGCCCGTGATCCAGCAGTACCACCTCTGGCTCCACATAGCTTGGCGGGAGTGGGAACGATGCAGAGGGACATATAGCGTGATATAGCGTGATAGAGGCAGAAGGAGTCGGGCAGCTGGCGGCATAGCCCGTTATCCAGCAGTACCACCTCTGGCTCCACATAGCTTGGCGAGAGTGGGAACGATGCAGAGGGACATATAGCGTGATATAGCGTGATAGAGGCAGAAGGAGTCGGGCAGCTGGCGGCATAGCCCGTGATCCAGCAGTACCACCTCTGGCTCCACATAGCTTGGCGAGAGTGGGAACGATGCAGAGGGACATATAGCGTGATATAGCGTGATAGAGGCAGAAGGAGTCGGGCAGCTGGCGGCATAGCCCGTGATCCAGCAGTACCACCTCTGGCTCCACATAGCTTGGCGGGAGTGGGAACGATGCAGAGGGACATATAGCGTGATATAGCGTGATAGAGGCAGAAGGAGTCGGGCAGCTGGCGGCATAGCCCGTGATCCAGCAGTACCACCTCTGGCTCCACATAGCTTGGCGGGAGTGGGAACGATGCAGAGGGACATATAGCGTGATATAGCGTGATAGAGGCAGAAGGAGTCGGGCAGCTGGCGGCATAGCCCGTGATCCAGCAGTACCACCTCTGGCTCCACATAGCTTGGCGGGAGTGGGAACGATGCAGTGGGACATATAGCGTGATATAGCGTGATAGAGGCAGAAGGAGTCGGGCAGCTGGCGGCATAGCCCGTGATCCAGCAGTACCACCTCTGGCTCCACATAGCTTGGCGGGAGTGGGAACGATGCAGTGGGACATATAGCGTGATATAGCGTGATAGAGGCAGAAGGAGTCGGGCAGCTGGCGGCATAGCCCGTGATCCAGCAGTACCACCTCTGGCTCCACATAGCTTGGCGGGAGTGGGAACGATGCAGTGGGACATATAGCGTGATATAGCGTGATAGAGGCAGAAGGAGTCGGGCAGCTGGCGGCATAGCCCGTGATCCAGCAGTACCACCTCTGGCTCCACATAGCTTGGCGGGAGTGGGAACGATGCAGTGGGACATATAGCGTGATATAGCGTGATAGAGGCAGAAGGAGTCGGGCAGCTGGCGGCATAGCCCGTGATCCAGCAGTACCACCTCTGGCTCCACATAGCTTGGCGAGAGTGGGAACGATGCAGAGGGACATATAGCGTGATATAGCGTGATAGAGGCAGAAGGAGTCGGGCAGCTGGCGGCATAGCCCGTGATCCAGCAGTACCACCTCTGGCTCCACATAGCTTGGCGAGAGTGGGAACGATGCAGAGGGACATATAGCGTGATATAGCGTGATAGAGGCAGAAGGAGTCGGGCAGCTGGCGGCATAGCCCGTGATCCAGCAGTACCACCTCTGGCTCCACATAGCTTGGCGGGAGTGGGAACGATGCAGTGGGACATATAGCGTGATATAGCGTGATAGAGGCAGAAGGAGTCGGGCAGCTGGCGGCATAGCCCGTGATCCAGCAGTACCACCTCTGGCTCCACATAGCTTGGCGGGAGTGGGAACGATGCAGAGGGACATATAGCGTGATATAGCGTGATAGAGGCAGAAGGAGTCGGGCAGCTGGCGGCATAGCCCGTGATCCAGCAGTACCACCTCTGGCTCCACATAGCTTGGCGGGAGTGGGAACGATGCAGTGGGACATATAGCGTGATATAGCGTGATAGAGGCAGAAGGAGTCGGGCAGCTGGCGGCATAGCCCGTGATCCAGCAGTACCACCTCTGGCTCCACATAGCTTGGCGGGAGTGGGAACGATGCAGTGGGACATATAGCGTGATATAGCGTGATAGAGGCAGAAGGAGTCGGGCAGCTGGCGGCATAGCCCGTGATCCAGCAGTACCACCTCTGGCTCCACATAGCTTGGCGGGAGTGGGAACGATGCAGTGGGACATATAGCGTGATATAGCGTGATAGAGGCAGAAGGAGTCGGGCAGCTGGCGGCATAGCCCGTGATCCAGCAGTACCACCTCTGGCTCCACATAGCTTGGCGAGAGTGGGAACGATGCAGAGGGACATATAGCGTGATATAGCGTGATAGAGGCAGAAGGAGTCGGGCAGCTGGCGGCATAGCCCGTGATCCAGCAGTACCACCTCTGGCTCCACATAGCTTGGCGAGAGTGGGAACGATGCAGAGGGACATATAGCGTGATATAGCGTGATAGAGGCAGAAGGAGTCGGGCAGCTGGCGGCATAGCCCGTGATCCAGCAGTACCACCTCTGGCTCCACATAGCTTGGCGGGAGTGGGAACGATGCAGTGGGACATATAGCGTGATATAGCGTGATAGAGGCAGAAGGAGTCGGGCAGCTGGCGGCATAGCCCGTGATCCAGCAGTACCACCTCTGGCTCCACATAGCTTGGCGGGAGTGGGAACGATGCAGAGGGACATATAGCGTGATATAGCGTGATAGAGGCAGAAGGAGTCGGGCAGCTGGCGGCATAGCCCGTGATCCAGCAGTACCACCTCTGGCTCCACATAGCTTGGCGGGAGTGGGAACGATGCAGTGGGACATATAGCGTGATATAGCGTGATAGAGGCAGAAGGAGTCGGGCAGCTGGCGGCATAGCCCGTGATCCAGCAGTACCACCTCTGGCTCCACATAGCTTGGCGGGAGTGGGAACGATGCAGTGGGACATATAGCGTGATATAGCGTGATAGAGGCAGAAGGAGTCGGGCAGCTGGCGGCATAGCCCGTGATCCAGCAGTACCACCTCTGGCTCCACATAGCTTGGCGGGAGTGGGAACGATGCAGTGGGACATATAGCGTGATATAGCGTGATAGAGGCAGAAGGAGTCGGGCAGCTGGCGGCATAGCCCGTGATCCAGCAGTACGAATTCTGGTTTAACTGGCCTGGAGAGAGGGAGGGGGAACGACGTGCAACAACACATGTGCGCGTAGTTGAGGGACGGAATCGGGGAAAGTGAGGGCAGGGGCAGGCGCCTTGGCCGAGAGCGGGCAGCCAATCACGCAGGCAGGTAGAGCAGGCAGGTCTACGCGCAAATCCCGAATCTCTGATACTAGAATGAGCAGCACTCACCGCCGCGCATTCGCCGCCCTCCTCTCTTCCACCGCACCAGCACATAAGCAGCATGGTGATCGCAGTGCACAAAGCATTCCTACCAGGCACCCTTACCCCCATGGTACTAGAGAGACCAGCCACTCACCGCCAGGCATTCGCCGCCCTCCTTGCTTCGGCCGCACCAACACGTTTGCTGCATGGGGGTCGCAGTGCACAAAGCCGTGGCGGAATATCATCTCCGCAAACGCAGTGCTGATCTGGTTGGTGGACGAGTGACGGAGGAACGGGGGAAGAAGAGAAGAGTAGGAGTGAGGTACCATTTGTTTGCGATCATATAAACATAGCATAGGCATCAAAAGTGGAAAATGATTTGAACTTGGATCGGGTATAAAACTAAATGATGGGCCAGGTACCGAATATAAATGGGCCGAAGAGTTTACCATGTAAAAAGACTGCAACTCACCAGTTTTGCCACGTCAGCAGGGTTGATCCCCATGTCCTTGAGCCTTGCCACGTCAGTCAGAGGCACGCCTTCCATCCACTCCATCGTCAGCACTCGCTGCCCGGTAAATTCTGGGAAGCTTCTCGGCACCGCCACAGACTCCCTCAGGAGCTTGGACGGTGAGGATCGAAAGTTGGCCATGCAATGACGACCGTTGGATGCTTCGAGGGTGAAATTTAGCTCCTGAAGAGAGGAAGAAAGGTGAGTGGATGGGTCACAGTGGAGGGGGAGTAGATTTGAAAGGCATGACGTATTACGGACGAGGGAAGAGGAGATTTGGAAGGGTGAAATCTAGCTCCTGTAGAGGGGTAAAAGGTGAGTCGGTGGGTCACAGTGTGAGGGGAGGAGATTCTGAAGGCATGATGGTCCATGGAAGGGGGTAAGTACAAGGCAAAACGTTGAGAGACAGAATGCAATGCACCGCCAGCCGTTGGATGCAATGCTGACCGTTGGATGCTTTGGGACTGAAATCACGCAGATGGCAAAGTAGAAAGCAAATTGCGCATGCAATTCTAGGTGTCCTGTGCGGTTCGATCTACTTCATAGACGCTCTCTGAAACGTACCTTGGGTAAGCTCTCTTCCACCTCTATGATCAGCCACCTGACATGGAGATCGCAGATGGCTAATCACTTTCTAGGTGTGCTGTGTGGTTAAATTGACCTTTTAGGCGCTCTCTGAAACATACCTTGGGTAAGCTCTCTTCCACCTCTGTGATCAGCCACCTGCAACGGGAAAGCAGACAAGATGGGAGTAATGTATGATTGGATTTATTGTAGCAATGGTTTCAACTGCCGATCCAACCGAACAAATCGGGAAACTAAATAAAACATGTAGCGGGTAGCCTAGGCTCGGGAAGCAATGATGTAAGCAGTCTTGGCTCGAAGAGAACAAATACATGAATACTGCCAAGACTAGGCTGCAGGCTCGAGAAGAACCAACCGGTACCTGTAGTCTAGGCTCGGGAAGAACCAATACCTGTAGTCTAGGCTTGGGAAGAACCAATACCTGTAGTCTAGGCTCGGGAAGAACCAGTAGAGTGCGGAGATGACAAGGCGCACTGATACCATGTCTGCTGCTGCTGTGTCAAGCAAATGTGCGTGCTGCACCTGGTGGGATGTGGTGTGAAGGGGTGGGGAGGGGTGAGGAGCAGTTGGGATGGGTTAGTGGGTTGCCGAGAAGGAAAAGACGGGTACAGCATGTCTGCTGCTGCTGTGTCAAGCAAATGTGCGTGCTGGACGTAATGGGATGGGGTGGGAAAGGTTGGAAGAGGGAGGGTTGGAAATAGGTAAGTGGGGTTTCCAAAAGGAAGAAATGGGGCCTCAACAAGAACTATGCTGCGTTGTTGGACCAGAAAATCAACAAGAACTATGCTCGCTTTGACAGCCACACCTTCCCCTGATTCCGGAGTGCCAGGTGCACTTGGGCCGAGAAAGATTGATTAGACACATAATATTCTGACCTGATACTCACCGTGACCTCACCTTGACGATCTCTACCTCCCCTGATTTGTGTGTGCCTTGATGAACTAGGTTAGGCTCGAGAAACCTTATGCGACACATCACTACTTGACCTGAATCTCACCTGACTCTCACCTGAATCTCACCTGACTCTCACCTGACTCTCACCTGACTCTCACCTCAACCTCCTGACCTCACCTTCACTGCCACGTCTTCCCCTGTCTTGAGTGTGCCTCGATGCACCTGGGCCAACGAGGCGCTCGCCACAGGCGTGGGGTCGAATGAGGAGAAGATCTGACGGTGGGAGTTGTAAAACAGGAGGAAAGGAGATAAACAGGAGGAGAAAGGAGAAAAACAGGAGGAGAAAGGAGAAAAACAGGAGGAGAAAGGAGAAAAACAGGAGGAGAGGGGCAGGGGAGAGGAAGGTGCAATTGGGCCAGGGATGCGCTTGCCACGGGCGTGGAGTCGAAGGAGGAGTATATCTGAGCATAGGGTGGGGGAAAGGATGATAGGGCTCGGAAAAAAGAGTGTGGGGAACCGGTAGGAAGGGATTGGGGAGAGGTAGGGGTGAAGGAGGGATGGAGGGATGAAGGATCGACAGAAGGTTGGAGAGCCGAACTCGATGGCAGGGAGGTTTAGGAAGGATTCAACTTACTTCTCCCCTTCGCCATACCACCTTCCCTCCCGTCCCTCTTCCACTTTACCACCTTTCCACCTTCCACCATACCTTTCAAAACGGACGTTTTTCACCGTACCTGTCTCTCTCACCGTACCTCCTCTGGTGGCTTTCCGAGCTCTGATTGGATGACGAGCCGAACGTCCTCGTAAGGGGTGACAGGGCACGTGTTGAGCATAGACTCCTTCATTACAATCACATACTCCTCCGGCACGATGTAGTCCTGAAAACACAGAAGGCGAGCAACGTAAGTTATGTATACATATACATGTGCATCTTTTCCCACCACTGACTCCTTCATTACAATCACATACCACTCCGGCACAATGTAATCCTGAAAGCACAAAAAGAAAGCGACAGAAATTACGCAACATATAGACTTGTTCAATTTGGTCACATATTCCATATCATCACAAATTTCCGTTCTTGAAACGCGCCCATACCAACAACACCCTTCAAAGCCACACCCTTCATAGACCCAAATCACACCCACCAGCTGAGCAATGTGCTGCCCTAGCTTAATGTAGATCCCTCCGTTTCTGGAGCACATCGCCTGCAGCCGATCCCTTTACCCATACCATCAACAACACCCTTAACATGCACACCGGGTAAACTGGAACCCACCAACTGAGCAATGTGCTGCCCTAGCTTGATGTAGATCCCTCCGTTTTTGAAGCACATCGCCTGCAGCCGATCCGCGCAGCGCAGGTGGCACTGCCGCTTCTCCGATTCCATTTCCTCGCTGCCCGCGGGCAGCCCGCGAAGAGAAGTCTTGTAGTCTGAGGAAACAACAGAGAAAATGGTTACTAGGTGAGTAGATTCGGCTAAAGGCCCTGCATTGCTATATTGCATAATTAAAAGGCTTTAGTGAAATGTTTAGCTAAAAGCGTTTATGGGAGAAAAGGCTGGTTGGGTGGGAAGTCGTACCAGCAACCATGGCGAGTACTGTGGTTACCACTCTTCCAACGCGCACTGGGACTGTAACGAGAAGCTTCAAACGAAGCATTGGATCCTCCCCCATTGCAGCCCATCCCACCGCACCCACGAAGCCCAATCCAGCCACGCCACGTGTCAGCCGCAAAAGGATTGACGGACGATTCAATCCGCCGTTTACTTGTGCTTTTGCCCCGTGAGATGCGGCGACGTTGCCGGCGTGAGTCGCGGCGGTCGTGGAACTAAATAACCGCCTAGCTGCGACGCCGCCTACAACCTCGATCTGCGACGGGTAAGTGCCATTGAATTTCACCTTGCCAGCCTGACACGCGCCGCGCGTGAAGGCTGTCGAGAAATGGGGAGCTTTCGTAACAGTGAAAAATGACCTACAGATGTTCTGTATTGTTCCTTCATATACGTTCCGTACGGTCCCGTTACTGACATTGTGTATCGTTTCGTTATAAATGCTCCTCCGATCCACAGCATGCTTGGCTCCTCGAGCAGCACTAGCGGCAACAAAACAGAATGCATTGTGGACACTTTTCCCCCGCATCGCGAATCGTGACGCCTGTGCGACTCGTCTGTCTCGAGAAGTAACCGGCCTCTTGCTGACACGAATCTGGCGGTACTGCGATTGCTGTGTAACGGATCAGCCACAAGTAACTTTCAGCGAGGAAGCTGCAAGGAAGGATCGCCGACTCCCTCACTTCAAGAACGACCCCTGAGCTCTTGGCAGGTAAGGCGCGGTGGTACTCTTAGTTCGAGCACCCCGAGGATCGAGCATGGAATAGATCGACAGTCGTCAGCGGGAACTGCGCTGTATGATAGCGATAACGAAGTGCGCAGCCTGCTGGCCTGGTTTGGCGCGAGTTTGCCCAAAATAGACGGATCCGTAACCTAAATCGTTTCTTCTACATACCTTATGCCCAGCAGACCAGACAAAGCAGTATCTGTGTGCTGAACTAAACTACGTGATCCTAAATTAGCCTGCTTCTATGCCTGTTTGAGATGTCAGCTCAGCAGCACTACCAGAGTCTTGAAGACCATATTCCAAGCCTTTCTTGCAGTCCAGACCAGAGTCTTTGAGCCTCTACGTTGAATGAACTTTTCGCGCGCTTTTTTCCTGCAATTTTGGAGGTGTGGCGAATCCCAAGGGTGTTTCTGGAACACTTGAGGCGCGGCGGCCGCCAGCAAGAGGGTGGATGAACGGTACTCCTGATGCCTGTTTGAGCCCCTCCCGGTTGCCTTGTGAAGGGGGCATATAAGCTGTATCGTGCGTTTCGCATAAGTTCGTCAATTTCGCAGCTAGCTAAAAAGAATTCGCATGTGCTTATAAACAAGACCCTGCTACCTAGTTACCTAGTTTGACTTCAGTCTCTTCTGCTTGACTTCGGTCTCTTCTGCTTGACGCGCTTGTAATGTGGGTGCATGAAGCTGGGGAAACAACCTCGGGTGCAGCGTGTCCATCCGGCGCAAGGCAAATTCGCGCGCATGGGGTGAGCATCAGCTTGTACCGCTTGTCTTAGGTCCAGACACATTCGCTTTACTAGGCTTCAGTCATTCGCCTTACTAGGCTTCAGTCATTCGCCACGGCAACACTAGATGTTACAAGGTTTTGAACATCGATCATAGACTTTACTATGCCTTGGTAGCTAGGAGGATAAGGGAGGAGTGTGGCGCGACATTGTAGGTGCCGCTGATTACACGCCCATTGGTTGCAATTGTCTCCAGATCATCCACAATGTCCCTTGGAGATGGCAAATTAGTGTCCGCCTGTTCCCAATCACCGACAACAAGAGGCACTCAAAGGCAGGGATAATGAGATGCAATGTACACAAGGATAGGAGAGAGATAATTGCATGATTTAGGCAATGTATCTTATGCTATGTTTCCACGAAAAGGGCGTCATTGTAGCAGTGAGCTAGGATGTACTCACCAGTCGGACCCATTGGCGCCCAGCGGGTGGGGGAGGTAGGCCAGCATCCACAGCGAAAGAGTGAGCATTGAAGGCCACATACAGGTCCCCACATGTCCCAGAGGTGTCATGCAAGCTGCAACATTTAACATACACACATCCATGAATGAAGATTAGTTGTGATTCTTGTTGTGGTGCATTCAAACGATCGAACACTTTGGACAACCAATAGTGTTCCATAAGACTGAAGCCATCGAAGGGAAGTGTTGAAGGTCGACTTACCTGAAGGCAAGGAATCTACTCTCGTAGTTATCCCAGTTGTCTTCATGCCATGTGATGTCCCGCTGAGAATTAGCCACACAACACATGCACACAAACACACACCGGTGATCAAAGAAGCCAGCTTGCTAGTTGTCTGAACATACAATGCAGTGGATATATGCATGAAAGCACGAGGGTGAAAGAGAAGTCCGGTCAGCCGGATGCATACTGAATGCACGTTATGAATCCTAAAATGCTGATAACTGCAGTTAGGGGGACGCTGAGGGATTACGGGTGAGAGGAAGTTGGCTTGGCCAAGAGCTGGGTGCCAGGAACGAAGGCGGTTGACTGCTGCTGTGAAGCGGAAGAGAGACGAGCGGGCCTGGTCCAACTGGGTGGGAAGAGAATGGGAAGCGGATGGAGCGAGCATGGGACCTCAGATAAAGAGAGTGACAGGGACAGCTAGAATCAGCCGATTCCAGAGAAAGTGGTTCAGATCGGCGTCATGGCAATAGCTGTTAAAAAGGTGGCAGGTCATCAAGGCAGTCTATTTTAGTCACAAGGTGCTGTACTATCTGTTTCTTCAGTGCCAGAAGCTGATTGATCACAAAGCCGTGCAGTCATCGAGTGCAATAGCCTCCAGTGCCATAGTTTAATCACCTGGTTCCAGAGGAAGCGGTTAAGTGCGGTGTCATGGCCGTAGCCGTTGTTGTTACCAGCCATAAAGGTACAGCACTGTATCACTACAAGGCGCTTAGTCACTCACACCACACCATGCGCTGCTCACCTGGTTCCAGAGGAAGTGGTTGAGTGCGGTGTCATGGCCGTAACTGTTGTTGTTGCCGTTACGCGTGTGCCCGTACTCATCCCCCATCAGCATCATAGGTGTTCCCTGTGACATGTGTGCATGTAGACAGCACAGGGACAGGGCACAAGAGTAATGGCATGTTGAGCATTTACAATATAGTATATGTCCATCCATGTGTGCCCGTACTCATCCCCAATCAGCATCATGGGCCTGCTCAGATCCATCCATCCATGAATGCATGCATACAGCACAGGGACAGGGCACAAGAGCAATGACACGTGGAACTTGTACCTTATGTGCCCGTACTCATCCCCAATCAGCATCATGGGCATGCCCTGCTCTATGTGCACGTGCGTGGGGCAAAGGGATAGGTAGCAAGGGAAATGGCACGTTGAACGTGTTCTATGTCTTGCATATGCTCGTCCGTGGGTGGTCGTACTCATCCCCAACCAGCATCCTGGGCGTGCCCTGCTCCATGTGCACATGTATACGGCACAGATTACAAGATGCACGTGCTTTTGAGGCGCCTCAAAAGTCATCACATGTATATGCAAGTGCACGCACCTGGGAGACCATCAGTGCGATGTGGAATGTTCTCATCTGCCGGTCTCTCAATGCCACAACCCCCTCGTTCTGTCTCACCCACCTATGACATGCATGTTTGTGCTCGCATGCATGCACCTGGGAGACATGCACGCACCTGGGAGACATGCACGCACCTGGGAGACATGCACGCACCTGGGAGAAATGCACGCACTTGGGAGATCTGGACGCACCTGGGAGACCATCAGCGCGATGTGGAAGTTTCTCATCTGCCGGTTGGTTTCTCAACGCAACAACCCCCTCATCTGTCTCGCCCACCTATGACGTGCGTGTTTGTGCCCACACGCACGCACCTGGGAGACCATCAGCGCGATGTGGAAGTTCCTCATTTGGCGGTTTCTCAACGCAATGATTCCCTCATCCTGTGTGGCACCTGGCGGGGGTTCAAAAGTGGCACGAGGAGTTGGGTGAAAGTGTCACGCATGTCACAAAGAGTTCAGTGCAGAAAATACTAGTCCACATTGTAGAGGGTTTTGGGGAGTCAAAAGCAGTTCTTCACCCCCACACACACCTCCAAATAGTTCTCCACCTTCCCCCCTCCCCTCCAAACCCAGCCCCGCCCCCCCCCCTCCCCCCCACACCCTTCCAGCTACTCACCTTCCGCTCCGCAGTTCCAGCTGAAGTTGTCATTGCTGCCGTCCCTCCCCTCCTCCCCATTCGCCTCGTTGTGCTGCCGGGGAGGGAGAGAGAATGGGGTCAGGGGCCAGAGGGGGAGGTGTGGGAAAGAAGGAAGGGAACAGGGAAGGGAGTGGGGAGGAGGGGGCGGGGGAAGAGGGAGGAAGGACAGGAGGAAGCAGAGAGGATGAGATTGGAGAGTTTTGGGGCATCTAAACCAGGAAAGGTAGGGGAAGGAAGGGAACGGGCAGAGGAGATGAGTGCGAACAGGGGGGTAAGGGGATGTGAGTAAGGCTGGGGGGAAGGTGGGGAGAGGGGAAAGAGGGAACGAAATAGAATTACTAATGCCACTACTTCCTTTCTTTTGTTGCGTTTTTTACCTTGACGTTGTAAGACACGAGGTCCCTGAGTGTGAAACCGTCGTGAGCGATGACAAAGTTAATGCTGTGGTAGGGCTTGCGCTGATTGACCTGCCCGTGGTTACGCGGAGAGCAGGGGAGGGATATGCAAGGGATATGATAGGCATGAGGACTTCGTTCTCCCGGGCACAGAGATGACAGCAACATGAACAGCCAGAGATAAGCATGGTAACATATGGTAAATATCATATTTGATCCCATGACAGGGAATGGCATGGCAACACATGTCATCTCACATGGTACACGTCATCTCACATGGTACGTGTCATTTCACATGGTGCGTGTCATCTCACATGGTGCGTGTCATCTCACATGGTGCGTGTCATCTCACATGGTACGTGTCATCTCACAAGTTACATGTCATCTCACATGGCACATGTCATCTCAAATGGTACATGTCATCTCACATGGTACATGTCATCTAACATGGCACATGTCATCTCACGTGGTACATGTCATCTCACACAGAACGTGTCATCTCACATGGTACGAGTCATCTCACATGGTACGTGTCATCTCACATGGTACATGTCAGCGGATCCAGCCAGTCGAGTGGCAAACGGCCCCTTCATGCCCTCATCGCCCTTAATGAATTTGCGCACGTCGTCTCGATACTTGCCGTTCCACTCCGCCCACCTGAGATGAAGGTGATGGAAGCACGGCATGGGGATGATGGGGATGGCATGGCAGGGGGGTGGGGCGACGGAAGCATGGCATGGGTGGAGAAGGAAGGGTGTGACCATCCATGACATACAACCAATGACAGCTCAAGGGCCCCTTCATGCCCTCATCGCCCTTGATGAACTTGCGCACGTCGTCTTGGTACTTGCCGTTCCACTCCGCCCACCTGGGATGATGGTGATGGCGGCATGAAATGGCAGGGGGGTGGGGCGACGGCAGCATGGCATGAGTGGAAAAGGAAGGGTGGTATCATACATGATCATCCATGGCATACAGTTAATGACAGCTCAACGGCCCCTTCATGCCCTCATCACCCTTGATGAACTTGCGCACGTCGTCTCGGTACTTGCCGTTCCACTCCGCCCACCTGGGATGATGGTGATGGCAGCATGGCATGGCGATGATGGTGATGGCAGCATGGCATGGCATGGGGATGGGGCGATGGCAGCATGGCACAGGTGAAAGGAAGGGTGTTACCATCCATGATAGATCATTGATGAGTGCAGCATGTCATGAGTTTCCTTTCCTATATGACTCAACCAGGCAAGGTGTTACCTGTTCCAGTTTGTAAGGGCGTTACCAGTGGGGAAGGCGTTACCTGGTCCAGTTTGTGAAGGCGTTACCAGTGGGGAAGGCGTTACCTGGTCCAGTTTGTGAAGGCGTTACCAGTGGGGAAGGCGTTACCTGGTCCAGTTTGTGAGGGCGTTACCAGTGGGGAAGGCATTACCTGGTCCAGTTGGGCAAGGCTACCTGTCCTATTCAAGGAAGGTCTTACCTGTCCCAGTTGGGAAAGCTTCCCACTTGGTAGAGTCCCCCACAGTCCCACGGCTCTGCGATCAGCTTGCACTTGGATAGCACCTCGTCCTTGGCAATGGCCTGATGGGGAAGGGGAGGGGGGAAGTGTGGGAACAGGAGGGGAAGGGGGAGTCGAGGGATGGGAGGAGTGGGAGGTGGGGCGAAACCTATGGTCACCTCCTAGAGTCCCCCACAGTTCAGGGCTCCGCGATGGGCTTGCACTTTGACAGCACCTAGTCTGTCAAAGGCAATGGCCTTATGAAAGAGGGGGGGGGAGGGTTGAGAGGTGGTAGGGCGTGAAGAAAGACGGGATGAGAGGAGAGGGGGGTAGGGATGTGACCAATCACTCACCCAAATCATTCACCCGACCCCAGTCACCCACTCTATTCCCTTACCCGATTGAAAGGAGGCACTTTGAGGAGCTCTCCATCAGCCCTCAGCACAAGGTGACTTTTGAGTCGACTCAAAAGTCACTTTGAGGAGCTCTCCATCAGCCCTCAGCACAAGGTGACTTTTGAGTCGACTCAAAAGTCACTTTGAGGAGCTCTCCATCAGCCCTCAGCACAAGGTGACTTTTGAGTCGACTCAAAAGTCACTTTGAGGAGCTCTCCATCACCCCTCAGCACAAGTCATTGGGGAGGTCAAGTAAGTGAGGAGATCACTTGCTGCAGTCCCTCGCCCCAACTACTCATCCAATGCCCATCCCAATCACGTACCCGAATGAGAGGAGGCGCTGTGAGGAGCTCTCCATCAGCCCTTGGCACAAGTCACTGGGGAGGTCGAGTAAGAGAGGAAATCATTATCCCCAATTTCTCTCCCCAACTACTCGTCCAAAACCCATCCCAATCACGTACCCGAATGAGAGGAGGCGCTGTGAGGGGCTCTCCATCGGTCCCTCGGCACAGGACACTGGCGAGGTCAAAGCGGAACCCATCCACGTGGTACTCCTGGAGGGAGAGGGAGGGGTGTGCGAAGGGGAGAAGAAGAGAGCGGTGAGCAGCGGTGAAAAAGGGTGAGGAGCAGTGGGGGGGGCCTTTGAGGGGCTCTCCATCGGTCCCTCGGCACAGGACACTGGCGAGGTCAAAGCGGAACCCATCCACGTGGTACTCCTGATGGAGAGGGCGGGAGTGAACGGGACGGAGGAGACGATATGATTGGTAGGGAGTCAGTGCAAAGGGCACTGGCAAGGTCAAAGCGATCCATACGGTAGTACTTAGGTGTGCGTGGAAAAGAAGGTAGGCTCACTCTCACTCTCACTCTCACTCTCACTCTCACTCTCACTCTCACATCACATCACATCACATCACATCACATCACATCACATCACATCACATCACATCACATCACATCGCACCTGTGCTCCCTCCCTGCCTCTCCCCCTTCTCCTCTCCCCCATCTCACCTGCACCCAGTGCCGGAGGCTATCCAGGATCATCTGCATCACCACCGGGTGGTTACAGTTGAGCGTGCCCCCTCTTCCCATCTCCCCCTTTCCTGTCACAACCTCTCCTTATCTCCCCGTCTGCTTTACTCCCCTTCTCACCCTCTACCCCTCCCAATCCCCCCGCCTCACCTGCACCCAGTGCCGGTGGCTATCCAGGATCATCTGCATCACCACCGGGTGGTTACAGTTGAGCGTGTTACCACACCTGACTGCTTCCTCCTCTCAGTATCTTGTCAGCCTTACTTCCCCACATTCCCACCCGACATGGCCCCTCTTGTACTCTCTGTACGCCCCTCCCCTCAGCCTCACCTGCACCCAGTGCCGGAGGCTATCCAGGATCATCTGCATCACCACCGGGTGGTTACAGTTGAGCGTGTTACCACACCCAGCATAATTCGCCAGTTGCACATAGCTGTTCGGCTGAACGATGTAGTATGTCTGGGGGTTAGGAAAGAGGGGCGGGGAGGAGAGGTGGGGACGGGGGTTGGGAAAGAGGGGAGGGGAGGAGAGGTGGGGACGGGGGTTGGGAAAGAGGGGCGGGGAGGGGGAGTGGGGATGGGAGGTGGGGAGGCATTGGCTTGGGAATGAAGGACAGGTAGCAGCCAAGGACGAGGAGGGAATTTCAGCCCCTTGTTTTCCCAGACGGGGTTTTGGAGTCCACTCATCAAAAGTCACCTCGAATCAATGAATGGACTCTGCTTCACCCTCACCCATCTGGTTCTGCTTCCTTCCCACCTTGCTGTCAATGCCCCGGAACAAGGTCGTATACGGGAAGGTGCCATCAGCCTCGTTGGTGTGGTTGTAAACCACATCCTGTATCACCTCCACCCCCTCCGCATGCAACCACTTCGCCCCTGCTCTTCCCCTACTTCCCACCTTGTTCGTTTGACTGCCCACCCGCATGCACAGCTTCATCCCCAACCTGCACCCACTACATCCAGGCGCACACCTTGTTGTCAATCCCCCGGAAAGAGGTCGTACATGGAAAGGTGTCGTCAGCCACATGCACCCGATTCACCCCCGCTGCATGCAGCTTTTTTACCGTGCCCTTCACCACAGGGCCACTTAGAGGGAAGCAGCCTCACAGGCTCATACCTTGTTGTCAATCCCCTGGAAGGAGGTCGTATATGGAAAGGTGTCGTCAGCCTCGTTGGTGCGGTTGTAAACCACATCCAGAGTCACCTCCACCCCTGCTCCATGCAGCTTTTTCACCATCTCCTTCACCTCCCTCGCTGCTGCTGCTGCTGCTGCCTCTCAGAAGGCTACTCAATAGGAAGGAGACAACATCAGAGTCTCGTACCTTGTTGTCGATGCCGCGGAACGAGGTGGTATACGGGAAGGTGTCGTCAGCCTCGTTGGTGTGGTTGTATACCACATCTAGAATCACCTCCACCCCCTCCGCATGCAGCTTTTTCACCATCTCCTTCACCTCCCTTGCTGCTGCTACAGGACCGCCGCCGTTAGAGGCGAAGCGGGACATGGGGGCGAAGAAGTTGACAGTGGAGTAGCCCCACGTGTTCACCTGGGGGGTTGGGAGAAACAAGGAACGTAGCAGAGAGGAGTTGAAGGCGGTTGAAGGTGGTACTGTGGTCCCCAGCGTTGGAGGCGAAGTGAGACATGGGGGTGAAGAAGTTGACAGTAGCCCCACGTGTTCACCTGTGGAAGAGGGAGAGAGGGGTTGAAGGCGGTTGAATCTGGTTAGAGGTTCATTTGACGACATGGCATGCAGCTTCTTCACCATCTCCTTCACCTCTCGTGCTGCTGCCACGGGGCCACCAGTGTTAGAGGCGAAGCGGGACATGGGGGCAAAGAAGTTGACCGAGGAGTACCCCCACGTGTTCACCTGTTGGTGGTGTGGGAATGTGGCAGGGAAACGGGTTGAAGGTGGTTAGATGTACATGTGATGCCACTGCATGCAGCTTCTTCACCATCTCCTTCACCTCTCGTGCTGCTGCCACAGGGCCACCAGTGTTAGAGGCGAAGCGGGACATGGGGGCAAAGAAGTTGACCGAGGAGTACCCCCACGTGTTCACCTGTTGGTGGTGTGGGAATGTGGCAGGGAAACGGGTTGAAGGTGGTTAGATGTACATGTGATGCCACTGCATGCAGCTTCTTCACCATCTCCTTCACCTCCCGCGCTGCTGCCACGGGGCCACCAGCATTGGAGGCGAAGCGGGACATGGGGGCAAAGAAGTTGACCGTGGAGTACCCCCACGTGTTCACCTGTGGGGGAGGAATTGTGGCAGGGAAGGGTTGAAAGCGGTAGAAGGTGGTTAGAAGTAGATGTGACGACATGGCATGCAGCTGCTTCACCATCTCCTTTCACTCCAAGCTCTTCCTGGTTTCAGGGCTCCAATGTGGTCACAGGAATTGGGGCGGGGCGCCTCTGCAACTCCATCTCGTCATACTCAAAGATGGGCAGCAGCTCCACCACTGCCACTCCGCTGCCTTCTTCACCCCATCATACTGCATTCCACGCCAGATCTACCTTATCTGAGAAACCTAGAGCACTATACCATGTGGTCTCGGGGGTTAGGGCGCCTCTGGAAAACCACCGTGTTCACCCCCAAGTGCCTTCATTGGCTTCACTTCACCTCATCCCACTGCCTTCCACCTCATCTACCTTATCTGAGAAATCTAGAGCACCATACCATGTGGTCGCGGGGGTTGGGGCGCCTCTGGAACTCCATCTCATCGTACTCGAAGATGGGCAGCAGCTCCACCGCGTTCACGCCCAGCTGCACCAGGTGCTGCACCTGCATGCATCGAACACGGGCCACATATGGGTGTATGTGCACGCACGTTAACTCCTGGCGGCAGCAGCTCCACCGCGTTCACGCCCAGCTGCACGAGGTGCTGCACCTGCACGCATGGGATATGGACAAGCGGGTGGAGTGCAGGGACTGTATGGGTTGAAATTCATGCACATGAATGAAGGCGCACATCAGCTCAACTGCGCTCACTCACGCCCAGCTGCACCAGGTGCTGCACCTGCAGGCATGCCACGTGGTAACACAGAAACACGGTGGGTCATGGGAACACACACACAGGGTCGCACATGCAGTCATTCCATAAACGCGTTCACATGGGAAGCAACGCAATAGCACGCAGCAGCATGTCACACTAACGCTTACCACCACCTACAGAAACAAAAAAATTAAATGGTTCCACCTTTGACTTGCACACCCTACCTTATCCGCAACAGCTGAGTAGCTTCCTCGTCTCCCCTCCTCGACCCCACTAGAGGGATCTGCAGTGTATGCCCGCACGTTCATCTCGTATATAATCACGTCTTTCTGCAAACATACAGGAGCACACGAGAGGACAACATGGAGTAGGGATAGAGGCAACAGTCACTATAACTGAGCAGGAATACTAGCTTCCCATGCCACTAGCTATCCCCCCTCCCTCCATCTCACTCCATCTCACTCATTCCCCAGCGATTTACAGGCTTCTTTCTCCAATACAGACAGCACTTCTTTTTCGCTCGCTCCTCAACCCCCAACCCACCCACGCACTGCAGTGCAGACACAGGCGCAAACTCAACCTGGAAAGGAGGTGACTTTTGAGTTGACTCAAAAGTCGCTGCAGTGGAGATACTGGGACAGACTAAACCTGAAAACCGAAACCTCAACCCCGAAACCTTAACCCCGAAACCCTTTCCCCGAAACCCTCCCCTTTCATACCTCGGGAATAGGCTTTCTCTTGGCTTCCGCCTCTCCCCAATCGAACGGCTCAGATTCAAAGTCAAAAGTGCCGTACATCTGAGCCATCCGTTGGCTCCCATCCCCAAATTTCCTTCTCCCATCCACGAGGGGTGCGTAGGGGTCTATCAGCAATAGGGAAGGGTCGAATCGGTGGCCTTCTCCCCACCCCTTTGGACCGTCCACCTTATAAGCATACAGCATACCGCATAGAGGCACGTTCTGAGGAGACGAGGCAGGGGGGGAAAAAAAGGAAGGTTGAACGATGACACCTGAAATAGAAGGGTATTAACTTAGTTCAGAGCTATGTTTGGCCGTTTTGATATAAGGCGACAGAAGGGAGAGAAGGCAGCCATTCACAAGTCACCCCATCAGGACTGCTCACCTCCACAGAAGCATGCCAGATGTCGCCCGTTCGTTGGCTGTTGGGATCCAGGGCAATCTCGAGATCAGGAGGCGAGCCCTGCTTACCGGACAGGAACCTGTGCGGAGAAGAGTGAGGGGAACGAGAGGGGGTAGCAAGGAGGAGAGGCTGGAGCTGAACCGATTAATCCTACTAGGACCAATCTGGTACCTGATCTCATACGGAATTGAATCTGTGAGGGTCCAGAGACAGCGTGATAGTGGAATGGAAATGGCATCTTGGGGTAAAGATTGACATGGCCTACACGCAGGAATTCACGGCTGTAGCGCGACTGAAGACTTAGAGGCAGAGGCTCACGGCTGTTGCGTGGTTAGAGAAAAGTGCAAAGTTGACGGTTCCTCGAGCAGGCAAAGAGTCACCGCTGTAGCCTGACTAGAAACTTACAGGCAGAGGGTCACGGCTGTAGCATGCTTGGAGAAGAGAGCAAAGTTGACGGTTCCTCGAGCAGGCAACCTGCTGTAACCGTCTAGCTTGGGTCGCTTCTCCACTAGAGACGGGCCCAGAGGGGAAGGTGAGCCGGTTCCAACCTTCACTTGTGACGCAGGGACGGGTGTGCTATAAGCGAGTGTTGTTACAACGGAGGAACGTCGCCAGGATGACCACGGGGGCGAAGCTGTGGGGATAGAGGTGGAATCCGATCTCGAGCCGCGCATGCCCTGAAAGGGATGACGTGTACACGTAGATCAGAAAACGGAAACGGTATGCGTGAGATGTGTTGTTAGCATGCTAAGGAATGATAATGCGAATGACATTGGCAATGAATACGACAATGCCATTTGAGGTGTTCGAGACCATCAATCCGATCTCAAGTTACGCATGTCCTGGAAGGTAGACGATCAGTGATTACCATGATCGTGAGGACGATGGCGACGGAAACGACGATATCGATGGGGATGGCTATGGTGATGCTGATCACATCAGATTCATCATCTACCGGCAAAGGCGAATCATCCAACTTTTCCTACCTTGAAACTTGGAGTCAGCTCCTTGACGAAAACACGCCTTCCGATAGTACACGTGTCCAATGTAGAAACCCTTCGGACGAATCCCAGGCTGCCAGGTGGCGCCGCGGCGAAAGTGCTCGCAGGCGGCCTGACGATGCTCGCCTGAGCATTCATGACGAATGCGTCACCAGACGGAATGCCGGATACTACGCCGGAAATCATGCACGCTAAACGCGACGACGTCTTTTCCGTAGACGCCTCGAACAGATGAATATGACGCTAGATTTTCCGACTGTGTACTGGAAGCTGATGATGACTTGTAGAGACAGCGCTTGAGGCAGGAGACCTGGCTTTTGACGACACGACCGATTCTCCTAGAGTGCACGAGCTTTGTGTGGTCGGAGACAGACGAATGGAAGCTTTGAGATTCGTTCCTCTAGTCTCCAACACGAGACTCACTCAGGCCTCCTGATAGGATTCAGAGGATCGTTGCAACCCGAAGTCACACGCTTTGACAACCCACCACCGTTGCTGGAGGGGAAATGGTTTGCATGAACAATCAGCTCAATGATCCGTCGTAAGTGGTTACCACCACAAGCACTTCGCTTCCGGCCTAATGGGTCAAAAATGCGAGTTGTCGTCTTTCGCCACGCTTATTTCGTTCGACAACTCCAAGGGTCCTCCAGCAGCAATCCCAAATCTCCTGCGGCACAATTCTAGCATCGATCCTGCCGAGCGATTGGAGGGGCGGAAGCTGGGCCGTGTTGATTGGCTCGACGGAGCTTTTCTGCAATTGGTCGGTGAAGCGAAGGTGGCGAAAACGGAGATATTTGTAGCGCCGGTTCGGGTAAGTTGAGAACGATTGTGTGGGTTCGTGATTCCTCAAGTAAAAACTGAACTTAAAAACAACGAACTCTGTAAAACAATCCAAATATGTGTAATAGAAGATTCCAATTTGAGCATTTGGGAAGCATGATGTATGGAAACTGAACAGCTTCAACTGATTGTAAAACACCTTGCTTTCAAATTCACAAGATGAGTGTCACGCTCACAAAAAGGATTTGCAATCATACAAATGACATTTAAAAAGGTCTCAGCTTCTGTGGTCCGGAACATGAGAAGGGACATCTCCAAATGTTTCCTCAATCTCAATCTTGTGGCCTTCTGGGACCTCCCATGGCTTCCACTCTGCTTGTTGGGAGAAGAACCACACACAGCACCAACGTTGTGGGCAAGACACGCCACTCCCACACACCCCATCACACGCACGCACGCACACACAACGCATGCACTCCCCCCCCCTCCCCCAACACACCCACACATGCACACAAACAAAAGTACACACAAGCACAATCACACTCGTGAGAACCCATGGAATCAGCTGATCCAAAGGCCTGAAGCAACTGGCCAGCCCAAGACCCATCACAGGAACAAACTGTGGCCACAGGCCACAATCCCCTACTCCGAACGTATAAGCACAACTTAGCCCTCTGTCCACCTACTCCTCACACACAAACCCTACTTACCGATCGTCAACCCAGCGTTGTACAGTTACAGAGCTCGTCTAAGGCCAACGGGCCCTTGGCCTCGAAAAATCCGGAGCACTTCGGGAAGAGCACATGACATCTCGCGGTACTATAGTATCACTGTACCCGCTAGGGAACTCCTGAGGCGTCCCGGCATAAGCGACACCATGACAGCTCGCAGAACTACCGTACTACGTAGAAGACAATAATGACGTCTCAAGCTTGGGCATGATACTGAGAGCGTGCAATACAGTTCCATTTAGGAGGTTGCGAGTTGCGAGCACCGTGGGGATACCAGGGCGGACCGCAGACGCACGCGAATCGACCGTAGCAATCTAACTCGATGGCAACCCTCTCTGAACCTACGCCCTCGCCTCATGCAACGATCGCGACACATGGAACTCACTCGCGACGGCGGCGAGTTTGCAGATCGCGAATCCACGGAGTTGTAACGCACCGCTGCAATCTTTCTCCTACTATCGAGACCTGCTACCCAATACTGCTCAGCACGACGGGAATCGTACTGGCTAACAGGACGAGAGTCTCACCAGCCATCTTAGGAATCAGTTCTAGCTCGTCCTTAGCTTGCTCGATCAGCTCCTCCACCTGTCCGCATTGCACGCGCGCTTCGATCTGCTCCGCTTCCTGCTCCTCCTCGCACACCGCGAGCCGCTGCCGCGTCAGCGCCTCCACGTTCTGCCTGTACACGGCCTCCTGAGGAATCACCTGAACGGCGCTTAGGGTTTGGTTGTAGAGGCCGATGAGCACCTGACGCGCGTTGGGGACAACATCGAGGCCGACGATGCCCGTCGACTCCTTCGCCTGCGCGAACAGCGCTCCTAACCGTCGACTCAACATGGCGGCTTGTGTACAATGGAGTACAGAAAGCACAGCAAGAGGAGAACCGACTGCAAAATAAAACAAGTCGAATTATTTACTGTTCAGATGCAGATGTGCGTTCATGCCGGAGTGGTTAACGGGACAGACTTGAAATCTGTTGGGCTACGCCCTCGCAGGTTCGAATCCTGCTGAACGCGACTTTTTCCCACATGGTCCTTATGGTGGATATACGCCCTACATGTCCTTTTGGTGCTTCCTACTCATCAGTCCAACCCCCTTTTTACTTTCACCTGCTCATCATAAGCTTGCACAACTTTATCTCCTCATCAAGAGCTTGCTGTTACGAGTGCAATTGAGTGAGCGAGCAAGGAGTGCACTATCGAAGCAAAAGTACAATGAGCGAAGGCATGAGCGAAGAATATATAGCGAAAATACAGTGGTAACGGTAATGGACTGTGGTTGTCGCGCGACGGGCCTGGGACTGAGGTTGGGGAAAATGTCGAAGCGGAGGCCCGGAGCGCGGGTTACCCGCCGAACCGTGAGGTCGGGGTGCGACGTGCGAAGGTGGCGGGAGGATTGTTGATGCGAGGGTTGCGACTCGTAACGGTGCTGACAGTGGTGTACGCGCTGAGCGGGGACGTGAAGTAAGGAAAAGGAATTTTCCTTACACTACCCCCCCCCTAAGGAGGTCCACCTTACGAAAGCGCGTGTACATCCTTGAAGTTTCGGCTGCGCAGATATTCGGTGAGGACGGGGTGGTTTTCGATTCTGTGCAGGGGAACCCAGTTGTCTTCGATGGGTGTACGGTCTTTCCAGCGGAACAGGAACTCGATCCTTCGGGCTCCTCGAGGGTCACGAACTCTGTGGCTCAGAATTTTCTCGGGGATGATGATTGGTTCAGTCGGCGGTCGTATCATGCTGGCTAGGCGATTACGTGGCAGTTGGCTCGTGGACGGGACGTAAGGGCGAAGTAGGCTGACGTGGAATGAGGGGCTGACGTACCAGTCAGCGGGGAGGAGGAGGTGGGCGGTGACGGGCGTAATCATGTGGCTTATGCGAAATGGCCCGCAATATCGGGGGCGGAGTTTTGGGGTGATGGGCAGTCCGAGGTTCTGAGTGTCGAGTAAAACTAGGTCGTCAGGTTGGTAAGTGACAGGTCGGCGGTGGCGGTCGGCGTTGCGTTTAGCGATGATGTTCGATTTTTTTATTGCGTCTGCTGCCCGGGTCCGTGATGCTTGTAATATTTCGGCGAACTGTTGTGCTCGTGGCACTGGGTTGTCGGGATTCGGGGTCATGCGTACTGTCGGGTATTTGTCAGAATGTTATCTTATGCTCTAGCCTGTAGTGGGGTGCTCTATAGCGAGTACAACCCTTCTAGGGTTTGCTATTTGTATCCCCATTCTTGCTAGTGCATCCCTCCTTCTCTCTTCTAACTTTCACATGCTATCAGAGCAGGTCGATCCCCTTGGATCGATCCTGTGGGTGGGCTTACCACCTCGTTGCTTCCGCTGCAACTACTACTGCTACTCTCTGTGCCGCACGCCCCGTGGCGTGCGGCTGTTTTTCTTCCCGCCGTGCGCCCCGAGGCGCGCGGCGGTTTTCTGCCCGCCGTGCGCCCCGAGGCGCGCGGCGGCTCTCTGCCCGTTGTGCGCCCCGAGGTGCGCGGCGGGCTTCTGCCCCGTCGTTCGGCGCGTCGTCCTCTGGAGCGTCGCGACGGGCGACGGGGACCCGCGCGTCGCCCCCCTTCACCCGTCTTGGCCTGCGCGCGGCCCGTACAGGCGGCGCGCGGCCCGTACGGGCTGCGCCAGGCCCGCGTGCGACCCGTACGGGCGGCGTCAGCCCCGTGCGCGGCCCGTACGGACGGCGCCAGTCCCGCGCGCGACTCGGGCCGCCTGCGCGCGGCTCGGGCGTCTGTACCAGGCCCGTGGTGGTCCCGTTCCTCGCTGCCCCTGCCCTCCCCGCTGTCCCCCAGTGCTTCTAATGGCGCCCCACCCCTCCTACTCCCCATTCTCCTGAATTAGGGTTTGGGGGTGAGGGGTATGGGGGTGACCTCACTGGGTGCGGTTCCCTGCTCCTCCTCCTCCTCCTCCTCCGTCTCCCTGTGCTGCAGCTGTCGCTGAGGGGGGGTGGACGTGTTGGAGCCGGTGGAGTGGTACTAAGGGGGGGTGAAGGGGGAGTGGAGCTAGCGGTGTAGCAGCGGGTGTGTGCCAGGGGGGAGTGGGATAGTTTGGGGAAGCTGAATGGAGGTTGCCGTCGTGTCGCCAGCAGCACCTGTAGTCCGGGGAGTTGCTCCAGTAGCCCAGTCGTAGCCAGCTGTGCCAGCCGCCCGTGGGCCCGTTGCTCGTCTGCCGCTACTTTAGCCGCGGGGCCAGTTACTCCAGTATTCCGGAGCGTTGTTCCGGTAGCCGCTGTGCCAGTGTGCCTCTTGTTGCCCGTGTGTCTGCAGCTTCATCCGTCGCCTCCTATCTCCTCTCCTCTCACTCTCTCTCCTCCTCCTCACTTGCCCGTTGTGACTACCACTAGCTTTGCTCATAATTGTGAACTTTAAACTATTGCTTCTTGAACTTGTGCTCAGAATGTGTGGTGACATTGTGATCCACCCTGAGCTTGTACTGCTTTACTTGCTCTGCTGATTACACCCAACTTTTGCTATGGGGGTGTGTCAGAATGTTATCTTATGCTCTAGCCTGTAGTGGGGTGCTCTATAGCGAGTACAACCCTTCTAGGGTTTGCTATTTGTATCCCCATTCTTGCTAGTGCATCCCTCCTTCTCTCTTCTAACTTTCACAGTCTTGTCCATAGTTCAGGTAAAATGGTGACTGTTGGGTCGTGGCGGACGGTGAGTTGTTGTATGCGAATTCAATGAGTGGCAGCTGTTGTTCCCAGGTGCTTGGGTCGTCGCACGTGGCTCGGATGAGTAGCTCCATAGTCTGGTTTGTCCGTTCTGTCTGTCCGTCTGTTTCGGGGTGGTACGAAGAACTGAACTGTAGTCGCGTGCCGAACTGCTGCCACAGGTTACGCCAGAAGTTGCTGGTGAATTTCGTGTTGCGGTCGTTGATGATCGGTGATGGTATCCCATGTAGTCAAACGACGGTGGAGATGAAGAGTCGAGCTGTTTCTTCGGCTGTTATCGATTTTTTGCAGGTTGCGAAATGTGTCATTTTCGTCAGTCGATCGACGACGACCAGGATCGCGTCGTTCCCACTCGCCCCGGCCGGTAACCCCGTGACCAAGTCCATCGTCACCTGCTGCCAAGCACGCTCTGGGGGTGGTATCGGCTGCAACTGTCCTGCCAGCCGCTGCCGTGATGATTTCCTGAGCTGGCAAGTGGGACACGATGCCACGTGTCGTTGTACGTCGGTCAACATTTCGGGCCAGTAATAATACCGCTGCAGCTGCTGCCGTGTTTTCTCTACCCCGAAATGCCCCGAGGTAACTCCGTCGTGTGCCTCCTGTAATAGTAATTCCCGTAGCAGTGTGTACCCTGGTACCCAGATGCGGCCGGTCCCGGTTTTTACGTAATAGTCTCCTTTTGCTGCTGCAAATTGCTGCGAATTTCCTCATGTGAAGAATGGATCCGTTTGGTACCCATGGGTGAATAGGCCTGTCAGTAGTGGGCTTGTCTGGGTGAGTAGTATTGCATGGATCTGGGCAGTGGGGCGGGTGCGTCGGCGATGTTCGAGGCTCCCTTTTTGTAGGTGACCGTGTAGTGAAAGTTGGACTCGAGAAAGTCGAGCCAGCGAATCTGTCGTGGGTTGAGGTGTGGCTGTGCGCGAAGGTACTGTAGTGATTTATGGTCTGTCCGTACTGTCACGTCTGCGAAAATGAACGAGAAAAGGATGAACTATGAAAGAGTTGGGTACAAGTACTAACCCTAATTGGGTTGTACCCCTTATGGGCTACCCCACCATAGCCTACACAAAAGCATAAGCTATGATGTTCTGACACACCCCCATAGGCAAAGTGGGGGAGAACAAGGGGTCACAAGACCAGTCAAGCAAAGCAAAGCAAGCTCAGGGTGGATCACAAAGTCACCACACATTCCGAGCACAAGTTCAAGGCCACAAGGCCAGTTCACATGCAGGAGTACATATATATATAAAAGGCTAGACAAGCAAGAGCAGGTGTATATATATATGTAACAGTACAAACAAGGTCAAGGGGTGAGCAAGTGAGGCAAGGCAGGCACAAGACCCAGCTGAGTACAGAAGCGCTGATGATCACAAGGCGCAAGTGCCTTGGTGAAGATATCAGCAGTGTTGGCCTCAGAGGCCACGTACGCAAAACGCAGCTGACCACGCTACTGCAACTCACGAGCAAGAAAGTAGCGGAGAGCAATGTGCTTCGTTCTGTGCTCCAGTCGCTGCTCCCGACACAAGGCCAGCATGGCCTTGTTGTCTACGTACAGCACTGGAGGAGAACGAGGCGGCTCTCCGAGGTCAGTCAGCAGGTAGGTGAGCCAGCGAAGCTCCTGAGCAGCCATGGCTCCTGTGTAGATCTCAGCCTCACAACTAGAGCCGAGAACAGAAGACGAGCGAGTAGCCCGCAACGAAACAGAGCCGGAACCAAGGCAGAAGGTGTAACCCTGTGACGACCGCTGCGTAGCCTGGTCGTCAGCCCAAGAAGCGTCTGCGTGCCCAGTGAGGACCACTGGACTCTGCCCTCCAAGCACAAGCCCCATGCCCGACGTACTGCACAAGTAGCGCAACACCCTCTTCGCTGCAGCCATTTGCTCTGGTCGGTGTCTCCCATGAGCAACATAGCGTGCGAGAATGCTAAGAGGGTATGCAAGGTCAGGTCGTGTGCAGGTCATCAGGTACATGAGGCAGCCAACAAGCTCTGGGTACGGGCCACTCGACTCTACGGACTCATCCAAAGGCAGAGCTGAGAGCGAGTGGCGAGTAGGCAGAGGAGTGGCCTGAGGCGAGGAGTACGTGAAGCCGAAGCGCTGAAGGACCTGCTGCACCATGTGTGACTGAGTAAGGGTAATGGTGCGGCGTGCTCTGTCCCGGGTGATC